TGGGAAGATTGAAACAATAAGTTCATGAAGTTAGTAATTACTCCTTCAAATGCTTCTTATGTAGTGGAAACACGAAGAAGTTTGTCTTACTTCTAAGTTTGTCTTACTTTTTTTTTTCACTTGAAAAACTTTAACCTTACCGTTACTTTTTCTTTGTAATGCCATAATTTTTTTTCAGTTCGTTACAAAACAGACCTAGGTAAATGGTAGAACGGTTTGAATTTACTGTATTTTGTGCATGTAAATGAGGCTGAGGCCGGCTTGGGGCATGTGGCATGATGTACTACACAGGCATGCAACTGGGAAGTCACAAAAAAAGAGGAAATTCAAATCTTTCTCAGACTTTGTACAGTGTTTTTCTATTTTCAATGGCACACATGGGAAGTAAAAAAAGAGGAAATCAGCTGATCCGAGGAAAAGTTGCATGCCTGACTACATTGTACACATGTATGTACATTGTACATTGTATCGCAATCAAGTACATGCACACAGTATAGTTGACACATGCAGTACATATAGCCTAGACGTTTCGTGTATGTTGGTAGAGGGGAACTGAAGAAGAAAGGGTAGGCCTATATGTGAACTATGTATATCTTCCCTCCCCTCCCCCCCCCCCCCCCAAAAAAAAAAATTCCTGACCGACCGACCCTCCTTACATTATTCATGCGAGGGCAACACAATTTTTTTTTTACCTAATACATGTGGCTTATCTTTTGACAATTCAATGGAGGGAAACGGAAAGTTGCAAAGCATTGTGGGTCGATCACCACAATGGGTAGCACACACACACTCAAGAATTAACCTCTGTTCACGGGGAAAATAAAATCCATCCAAAGAGAAGTCAAAGAAATAGAGATCACTGGCGCCATTCGATAGAAGGTTGGTGGGTGTGAGTGAAATGGGGCCCTTTCATGTTGACTGTGAATACACTTCGTGGGGAATCAAGTCATATCACCCCTATACAGGGTGAGTAAAAAAAAAAAAGCATGACCCAAATATCAGGACTATTGGTTTAGTGAAGTTCTGCCTGTAGCACTTTCAAAATCTAGGATATGAAAGCCAAATTCATAAGCTTTCTTTTAGTACAAGAATCATTCAAATCACTCATGTACTTTTCAAGTTACAGAATTTAAACAACCACCGTTTTAAAGTTCTGTCCACGGATCACAAAAAGGTAAGTGTTCTTTCAGCAAAACGAAAGCAAATCACATATGGATGTGTGTGAATTGTTTTCGTTTTGCTGAAAGAACGCACACCTTTTTTTGTGAACCGTGGACAGAACCATAAAACGGTGGTTGTGTTTAAAATTCTGTAACTTGAAAATTACATGAGTGATTTGAATGATTCTTGTACTAAAACAGTAAAAGAAGCTTATGAATTGGGCTTTCATATCCTAGATTTTGAAAGTGCTACATGCAGAACTTCACTAAAACAATGGTCCCGACATCTGGGTTTCGTTTGTTTTACTCACCCTGTAGAACCCTGTCACTTCACATGGGGCTCAATATAGTGCTGCAGCGCCCACTGCAGCGTACTGGATTTGCAGGCAGATTTGGTAAAGTTGCTAGCAAACAATGCCAAGGTTTGGTGTTCAAATGACATTTATTTCAAACCAGCAAACCAGCTTGTTATTCATGTGTAAAGTTTTAAATTATTCTACACAGATGTCATCAACAGTTATAATAAACCATTGTACTGTAGCGTGCAAAACGAGTCTCCCACACAATGTACTTTTTTACTCGTTGTCAGTCTCAATTATAAATTCCTGAACTCCTGATCCAATCTTACAAAGCCAATCTGATCAATTTTATGCATGTGAACTTACTTTTAATGGACTTCATACATTAATTGTAGATGTGCTGTATCACCTATTTATGAGCAGTGTTGTGGTCCGGTCACATATAAATTAAAAGTCAATAGACCTATTGTAGCGGTACGCCATTAAGGAGGTCCGCTCAAATGATTAGATTCAAGGACGCCAAGGACAAATCAAGACAAACAGAAACAAATCAAAACAGGAGTCAAATTATGCTTGGTCTCATGAACTTGTTCACAAAAATCGATTACAATAGTTTAAATTAACACATAATCTCAATTTGAACTCACAAAAAAACTGTTACAAAAGTATTGATAAGATAATAGATCAGTTTCTAGCTCTATAAATTGTGACACAGTTGCCAATGATAAAATATATTAAATCAAAAAGTTTGTATTACTAAAGTTCCCAGATTCAAAGTGAGGTTCATAAGATTCTCCGGTTCCTAATATTCTTGGTTCTAATATTTTAATCAGGTTCCCCGAACGCCTGGCCAGTGTACGGCCGTGTAGTGAACTAGGCCTCCAAATTGCACCTGACATGAAACAGTCGTATTGCAATAAATCAACATGTGACACACGGTGATTAAAACTTTGAGAATGCAAAGACTAATTCACCCCAAAATCACTCCTTTTGTCAACATGAAATAAACTAACACCTATCCCAGCGGTAGCAGAGAACTTGCATTGTGACATTAGAATGTAAAGAAAATACAAATTTCGCTCATTTGAAACTAAAATGTTGGTTTTCAAGCACAAATCTATGCACACGATACTCACACTTTGGTGTGCATGCAGAAAAGGGATGGTATTCGCGCGTTCACGGCACAGAGTGCGCGTTTGTATACATTTTTCTGGGCTGTGTGCCAATTGTACGGTGCCTCGTAAAAGACGTCTCACCCACTACACTAAGACATCTGACGTCACGCTTTTTTTACTGTACGCTTTCCTTTGGGAGCCAGGTAGGGACTAGTCTGAGTATCACCCGTTATCAACGGAGCCAAGTCCTGTATAACCTCTGTTATATCTAGACATGCAGATATATGCAAGCCGCGCGCCAGCCAATCAGAGTCGACTTCACTAAATCGTGACGTCATTTCATTCCCAAATCAGGACTAAATGGTTTGATTGGTACATTCGAATGCAGTGTTTTGTAATACAACAGCCGGGCGCAATATCGCGTAACATGATACAGAGCGCGTGACAATTTTTTTTTATCCACTGTCTATGATGCGCAACGGGTGAATGACCAAAGACCCAATATAGAAAGCGCTCGCTAATTGGTCAAAATCTAGGAGGTCAAGAGGCAGGGTCTTGCCTAATTAATCAGTGAATCTGTTCACGCATAATAGAGACGAGAGCCAAGCGTCCCACCTGGCTCCCATAGGAAAGCGTACATGTAAACAAAGCGTGACGTCATTATGTATTCGGTTTATTCACGAGCTCTGTCAAAAATAACAAGGGATGAACAACAACGGAACACCTTTGTGACGGTACGTGTGAACGAGACTTGAAACTCGATTACAATGTACTTGTGATCCACTTGAGATTGAACTTGTGGTAGAGTTGTGATGGACTCGACTAGAACACTACATACAAAAGCAGTGACAAAAGCCAAGTGCACACAGGCTCTTGCTTTGGTACAGAGTGCAGCCGCACACAAAACGAATTTCATCCGAGTGTACAAAGGAATGCACCTAAGCTGTGAGGGGAGGGGGGTTAAGGGTCTAACACCACCCCCCCCCCCCCCCCCCCCCCATTGGGCCACAAAAAGGAAAATTCTGCCGAAAACACAAATGCCTACTAACCCCCCCCCCCCCCCCCCCTCAGACAGCTAATCCCCCCCCCCCCCCAACACACAGATAATCCCTCCCCGAACAAACCCCCTTATGATTTTTTTCACCGAGGCCGTTGTAATGCCAGGTTGGTATTTTGCTTTAATTATATACCCCCAAAAAATGTCAATGTGACATTGGCTACGGCTTGTAATTACGCACAAGTTCATGGAAACGGCTAAAATTTCTTCCACTTCCCCTGCTATACTTATAACACAGGCCAGTCACCAGCAGTCAGATCATAATGTCAAGCAAGCACTGTGATTAGTCAAACTCAGTCAACAGACCATGAACAGACAAAGCAGGCAAGTTGTGGGCACAGCTGGCTTATCAATCGCCACACAAGTACAGCACACGCACAGTCACTACACAACTTTTAACTCACTGTGCCCGTGATGGAGTACGTATCCAGCTTTGGAGGTTGGGGGGGGGCAACCGCACATCCGAAATGTAGACATGTGTTGTTGTTTTTTTCCGGACACTTGGCACCTGTAAAATCAAAAAGCGAAGGGGGGGATGCTGGGCTGGTACCCACCTTCCAAATGGGGGCGCTCTTCACAACTGACCATTATTATGCAAATTGCAAACTATATAATCATTTTCACGGCGCATTGTAATGGGTTTGAGCGTTTTTTCTTTTGGGGGATTGATGTCAGAACTCTTTGACCATTTATTGAAAATTGTTGCTTAACACAAAATGTGAAAAAAATCCGCCAGAGAGGGCAGAGTGCCCCCTCTTATAGTTTTCTATCAAGCGTTTCTTTATATAAAGCCTTACTATAATTGGATAAACAACAAAAGGCTGAATACCCAGTGGAGGTCCTAGCTTGTGGGGGTTTCTCTCGTTTGTCCGTGCCGGGGAGTGTCTCCCTGAAAAGTACAGTTTTGTAAGACAAAGGGGGATTGACAGTGCGTATCGTTGGTTTTATTGGAGTGCCATGATCACAGTTACGGTGCTCGCGGCTCATGTGTCAATGGTTCGAGCCCTGTCGGGGAACATGGTGGCAAGATACTTTACAACAATTGCCTCTTTAAACCCAGGAGCCTAAACGGGTATACTTTTGAGGATAAAGACCTGAATGCACAACTCTCTAGTTATAGCTGCTGCAGAAAGCTGGTCTCACGGCCTGACGAGTAGGGGTACATATAATTGTGAAGCGCTTTCAGACCTTGGTCCCAACGCAATATAAGCACTGCATTATTATAGCAGCCTGCACATGTCATGTCATTTTTCCCAACTGTGAAGTTTGAGTGTACGTCAGGTTCACTGCATCACAAAGTATAGTTATTTTTGTTTGACGTGCGGAACAGAAAATAACAAAAGACAGGGAACAGTGGTTAGTGTAATATTATGAGCCACACTAGTATATGTTTCAGTGAAGCGTCGCCATTAACTGCTACGCAATACAAGGCGGAAACAAAATGTGTGCGTTTTATTTGAGTCGGAAGTAGAGGTTCCGTCAGAACGTCACATTCACGTTCCCAAGGGGGAAATTAATTATATGCGAGCAGTACTGAACTTGTTGCGGTTGTTTAAATGAGCAGTGTTCCCCGACCCCCGGTCAGACGGACGAGATCTGACGTGAAGGAGTACACACCACCGGGGCCGCGGACCATGGCCAACAATCAGCCGAGCGCGGGACCGAGCATGGGTCACGGTTTCTTGAAGAATTGGACTCCGCCTCCGGAGAACCATATGCCTCCAGGCTATTCCGTTTATAAGGAGAGGCGGGAACAACCCGACCCAGAGCCCCCGGGTCCTCCCAAGCCTCCGGAGGAGTTCCCCGCCAAGCTGACTCTCAAGTTGGAGGCCGAGGATAGGGACACGGACCTGGCCCGGATCTGCAGCGATGCCCTGCATGAGCTGCCGCAGATGGTCAAGGTTGGGGAGAAGTTCTCGGTGAAAGGGAACGACGTGCAGTTGGAGAAGGGAGAATCGCTGTTGCTTCTCTTCGTAGCGGAGCTACCTCGGGTGCATGCCGTGGATACTACGAATGGGAAAGAAGTATGGCTACCTGTGCACGCCGAACAGTTGTACGAGACACTTCCGATAGGTAGGAATTATAAATAATCATTATAAAGATTGCATTTTGCATTTTTGAAAAAAAATCCCGCCAGGGTCAAAATGTCATTCTCTCTTTACTTTATTAAATAAATTCTAGATTTACTATTTAATAAAAACGCCAACAACCGCATGCCATCTGATGATGATGAATCGCATCGATTTAAACAATAAGAGATATTTTGTTGTTGTTTGTTTCTATGGTTATTTTTTTTTGGGGGGGGGGGAGATTTTGTGATAGAAATGCATTTTGATACCTGTGGTCGTTAATGCGACAGAAAATGTGCTCAACTTTCAATTTTGATTCAAGTTTTCCATCATAAAGTTATGCAGGCTATATAGGCCTAATTACGCCTAACATTTTTTTAAAACTTTTGATAGGAATGAATTTTCAAGCACAAAGAGTCTAAAATCAGAGCAATGACATACGATTACACTATACAGGGTTATGTTGAGACTTCATTAATTTTTTTTTCACACTTTACCTGGTTTCAAAGGATACACTTTTTGAACTTTCGACTTCAATTTGGGTCGTTCCCCGCAATTTTCAAAATGTGTTCAACTGATCTGTTCATATAATTTTCATGCCTAGGACTTTATTCTGAGTAATTTTTTATTAATAAGATAGCGAGTGGACAAATACAGAATATCGTATATATTATAACCACTTTTTTTTCTATTGGTGAAAATGTCCACGTTGCCCGATCCCAAAATTGAATATACCACGGAGTACACATGTCATAAACAAAAAGCTGCTGCTGCGCGCTATTTCCATCCACTGTAAGCCCGAAAGCCTGACGAAACCTATAGAGCGGAGACAATGAGAAGAAATTACAGTTTTTAGAGGTGGGAAGAAAAGCCCAGAAGAATATTCTGGGGAAAACCCACGGAATCAGATAGTGACTGAAAACCTAATCCACATATTGGCCCAGCAGGCGGGATTCAAAACCGGGTCTGGCGGTGGAAGGCGGGGAAAGCGTACAGCTACGCCAACTTCAATCTCCAAATAGGAGCGCTACTTTTTGTGTTTCCATCAAACATTTCGAAAACCTCTACTTCGCGGTGTTTTGCATCTCAGGTTTAAAAGGGGGAAATTCATGGTACACTCTTCAAGCAATAGTGTCAACATGGATTCTATTCACACTCCAAGGACGTGTGTGAATTTATGTGAATTAATGTGAATATACCGATCGTTTCAGTTTCAGTTTCGTACATTTCCGTTCAGCGCGGATTTTCTAGCCAATATAATGCCGACATCAATTTATTTAACTGATTTCCAATTGCATCCATCATCAGCTGACTCTATAAATAACATATCTTGTCAAGTTGTACAATTTTCTTTCAATGATAAGTCCAATTCCAATCATTTTTTTGAGAGTGTAGCATTACTAGGAAACAATGCAGGGAATTCTACATGAATCGCCCATCAATTTACAACGCTATAATTTGCAGGGGGGGGGGGAACAACTTATTTTCCGAATGATGGAAACAAAAATCCATTGTCTTCTCAATTTCATTCAAATGAACAAAATCCATGGCGTTGGTTGTAATGGTAAACACATTCATAAGATTTTCTTAGTCACAGGGCAACATGCATTGTCTTCGAAGTTTGAAGCGCGAACGAGTGCTAATTCAGTGCACGTACAAAAACATACACAAAGTACGTTTGTACTTTTCGTTATGGCATAAACAAACAAAATATATTCTACAACAAATACGTTTTGGCTTTATAAACGGAAGTACATAGCCAGTGCAAGACATTGGATTTCGCCACCAAAGCAGGTTTATTCACAAAGAGTCATCGGTGTATTAATGTTATGTGCTGACATAACATAGGAAACATACGGGAAAAAACAAAAATATTTATGTTCACAACCAAGGTGATTGTACCCAACGATCTATTCATAGCTAGTTCTCTGAAATTCTCTTATAGGCCTACACGGAAATTAAACGTTGTGAGGTTTTTTGGTTTTTCTTTTGCTATCATGTTCCTGCTCATGCTAATGGTCTTGTGACAATTGTGTAAACAAACAGTACAGTCGAAGGCAATAAGAGCACTTTTCAACTACGAGCAGGAAATTATTGTTTTTTCGAAAACAATACTCAGTTCCATTGTTTAAGTTTTGTTACTTTGTTTTTTACCGACGTAAAAACAATTTTAATACTTACATGTATTCAAGGGCGGATCCAGAACAAAAAGTGGGTCCAATTTTTTTTTTTGATTCTAGATGCTCTGTGGTGCGATCTGAGGCAATTCCTGCCCACTTTGACCAACTTTTTTGTAGAAAAAGATGGTGGTGTACGCAGTGCCTGCCTTTATTGCGACGTCACTTAAAAAAAGTTGGGTTCGTTTGGGGGTTTTTTCCGTTGCCCCCCCCCCCCCCCCGATCCGACCTTACATGTATTTATTATAGTTCATGTATTTATTATAGTTTTATTATATTTTAATTATTAAATATTACACTTTTTTTGATAACGTTTTTGCACAACGCTTTGCTTGATTTGTTGAAAGAGTATAAAATTGGCGATAAGGAGAGATTTAGGCGTGCAGAAATGTTTGCATACAACACTTCGAAGGGGCAATGTGTATCACTCAGCATGTATGAAATAAATCAACGTTTATATGAGCCAGTGTCGCGTCGGCTCAAGATAAAAATTTCCATCAAACATAAAATTCTCTCGGATATCATTGCGTAAATCAGACGGATTGCATATGTAAAACATATATCACTTCAACTTTCAGACTCTTAAAAATGTCCACTTTCCGGCACCTGATTAGGGCTCATTGCAGAGGACCTTGGGTAAAAGGCGTGGGAACATACACAAAAGATGAAAACCTGTGAAAAAAAAATCCCAGACTTTACGTGAACTTCAACAAATAAGTACCATGAACATGCAGGAGGAAACCATTTCTCATTCAGAGAATGAAATGAGGCATAAACTGTTCCCTAACACGATTGCAGCCATGAACAAGGGCGAAGTTCACAAAACAGAATTCGTAACAATAGTCGCCATACACTGATATTGGTTTAGGCCTATATAGGTATGAATACAAGCTGTCTACACGGAAGTACATCTGTGAAAAAGAAAATCCCACACGAGTTATACACGACGTCGTCGATAAATATTATATTTTATTACATTCTTGTAATTTTGGATTGATTCATACTTTTGACAAGTTGTTATTTTCTGTTGAAAGAAAGAAAATATATATTTCCTAACATATTCCTCATTGTTTCAAATTGCAGTTTAATATCACAATATCATTTCGCTGTGTTCGAAGATTTTAATTAAAGATGTATTTCCCGTGCTATTTCGACACATCGAAAAATATGGGTTTTTTCCAAAGGCTTTTTTCCTGGCAATATTAAAATTATAGCTTTTCAATGAGACAAACTTAATCCACCGACGTTTAAATTATTGAATTATTTTTTTGCAAAACTTTAATTATTGCAGACTCAACAATAATTCGTCCCTTGGAAGGTGGGTTCATATACAAATTGAAAATTCATTCAGAAGAAACTGTCAAATTTTCTTAAAGCACATCTTCAGTGTTATGAAGACTCGTTATTTTCATCTCAGTTGTTTAAAAATATAATACTTTCACCTTCCACTTTTGTTATGAGTGACATTTTGTGTGAAACGGAACGTCTTTCGTGTTATTATTGTTTAATATTGAAAGGGGTCCCAAGTACTATTTGTCTCACGAGTAAACAACACAAGGGAAAGATGTTTATCTGTCCAAAGACGTAACAAATATTTTCATAGCTCCAATCCTTTCAAAGAATTAAAAGCGAAAGCTATCATTTAAAAAAAAAATTAAACATTTTTATCGTACAGTTCCAATACGTTTTCATTAAAAGTTATGATAGTGTGACCACATAAAACAGTTACTACCGGTTGTCCCACAAAACATCGGGCATGTTTCCAGTATTCAAATCGTGTCTAATGTATGAGTAGAATAATTGGTCTTCCAAATGCTTTTTAGATGATTTCATTAGGATATTTTGTTAAAAAGATACAGCAATCACAATACGGGACTTAAAAAAACACTTGTGCCTCTTTTTTATTTATCACGTTACAGATCGAAGTCCATGTAGAATAAGTCACACGTTACTCATGAACAAAGGAAACAAACCCTTTGTGTATTTCTGTAACTGTGCTTTCCCACTTTCAAGGAAAGTGGCCCAAGACGATTTTGCAACCATTGAGTTCAATGAAGCATAGCGTTTGTTCCAATGCATCGATTTCAATGAAATAAAGTTTGTGCGGTAGATTGGATATCTGGCTAAAAAAAAAGAGGTAATTTGAAAATATTCCAAAACCCACATGCAATATACCTTTATTGTTAGGTTTTTTGTGGGACAACCTGTATGCATGTCATAGGAATTAATCCATTAAAAAAATATCAACTGAGTGCAAATAGAACAGGTTTTCTCCATGAAGACATCAAAAATCATTTGAAAAGTAACTAGCAATCCTGCAAAATACATAGGTTTTCAAAGTTTACTTTGCTTGCAACACCAGATATAGGCTCATCTTGGATTCACAATTGGGGACCAAGTTTACATCTTTATACTACTAGAACTACTTTTTTTTTCCTTTCTAGATCCTCGTCTGGATGACAAACTATACACGGGGGTCACTGCCATGATGAACAGCAACCCCATGCCGTGTATAGTACGCGTACTGGAGGGCTATGGGTCTGATGACTACACAGAATGCGTGGATCAAGAGGACGTCATACGCCTCAGCCACATCGAGGAGAAAGTTCGAAGATATAGCAAAGAAAGAGTGCGTGTCCTTATGTCTGAGCTTGGTTAAGGGTTGGGGTAACAGAGATAGGGGCAGAGAGGGTAGGATTATTCAGAAGAGGGAGGGAATCATGGGTGGAGTTACTAGTTGGGGTTGAGTTGGGATAAAGGGTAGTATCGGGGATGATCTGAGATCAGCTTTGGTTAATTGTGAGGTCTTGGGTGGTGGATCGGTACCATGACTGGGGTTGGCACAGGGGCTCCGGTGGGGTAATTATATCGCTGATACAGCGTGATGAATGGGCTTCCGTGGCTGGGGTAGGGTTATCTTGAAAGGGGATGGTAAGATTGTTTTGGGTAGCTGATGGGTAGGGTGCAGGAGCTGGGGTAGAGTTTACAGCCCTGTAGGCGGTGGTATAGGATTATCAGCAATGGGACCCGAGTAGGATTATCATGGATATGACAGGTACAGTCTGTTATCAGGGGAAAGCGGATACAGTCTAGGCTGGGTTATCAGGTACAGGGGTTTGTCAAGATGAATTAAGATGGGATAGGGCCAGAGCTGAGTTGCAGGTTGGTTGGGATAAGGCCGGATTGGGAACAGGGGCTGGTTGAAGAATATTAGGCATAGGGGCTGGGTAGCCCTGGGGTATGTTTTTAAAATGTAGGTCTGGTAACGGTTATAAGATTAAACAAACCGTTTAAAATAGCAAAGACCATAATGACCAAATGTAAGTCTTGTATTCATTCTCTTGATTTCCCCGTAGATTCTGATTGCGCAAAATCAGATAGGTCACCGACTTGAGCTCCACAAAGACATGGATTGTGCCCACTTCACCACTATGATGTCCGCACTGTTCCTGCACATGTCCGAACTCACTGGGCTGCCTTTCCCACAGGTGAAAAATAAAGAGAATGAATTACTATCAGAGAGATCTTCGTGCCATTAGTATTAATTAATACAGTCTGTCTAAAAAAAAATGCAAACAAATATAACAGAATGCCAGACGTAGAATGCTTAAAAGATCCACCTTTCAACTTTAAAATGAGGCATCAACGTTCAAATCTGATAATTTTTGACCGAATTATGTGTCATTTCCCAAGAGAGGTCAAATTGACCATGGGACCAAGTTTTTTCAGTGTACTGTCTTTTTTTTAAGTGGAAATGTGTATCTTTCAAACCATACCTATATTATCTAAGTTGGATACGCATTCTAGGTCTGGCACTCCATTATATTTTGTTTGAATTTTTTTTAAAGACACATAGGCCATCAGCCTCGGTCCAAAATTTTGGCCACCGATGTTAAATGAGGGGAATAATCATCATAGCGATTTTTGGCAAGGTATACACCTCCAGAGTTGGAAAATATGTGATAGCATTGCAGCGGTGGCAGCTTTTGGGGTGTTATCACCTGTTTGGTTTTTTTCCAAAATGTCCATCGAAATGCTTGTTACCACTCTAGGGGCGGTATACCTTGTGCATGCGCACTATAATCATTAATGCCCTGATTTGATACTGACCAAACCCCCAGGCTGATGGTCTAACACTGTAGATTACCCTTTTGAATTTGTGTTCTTTTGCAGCGAGTGCGCGTAGTTGAGGAAACCAACTTTGAGAAGCGCAAACCCAAGGAAGAGAAGGTCTTCAAGTTGTTGTCTTTTAAGAATGACCTGCAGGTGATTGCCACGCGATCCAGGAAGCCAGGCCTGCTCTCAATTCCACTCTCTGTGCCTATTTCCCTCCACACAACTTCTTTCAAGGTATGTCATCCAATTCCTCTGTACCAACGTTCAGATTTTTTTGTATTTTGTATAAGGTGTACAAACTTTAACATGATGTACAGAAAAATGTCGACAAATTCAGCAATTTCAGTAAGGTGAAATAGTTTGATGGCAAATTCAACCATACATCACACCTGATCCGAATTGACCTATGGCGGTAGAATCGCGTTAGAATCGCGTTAGAATCGCGTCAACGCAGCTTGTGAATAATGTCCAATAACATGATATTCAAATGGACGCGGAACGCGCAACATCTGAGACAAACAAAACTTAGCGTACACAAATTCCATAGGGTTGTCTAAGGGGCGTGGCTAACTCCCAAACGGCGATGGGTCAATTTCGTGGAACTGCTAAGCAAAATACATGTATATTGCTTTAAGCACAGATTGTCTGAGAACAAGTCACAAGCAATCTACATGGCATGGCATCTTAGCTGGTAACCTGTTGCTGCTCAGCTCTTCTTTTTTTGCTGAACAAATTGTATGTAATTAGCATCTCCATGAGTTTCTTCTTGGAGGGCATGATCGAATGGCTCCTTTTTTAAATCTATCTTTAGGACAAGACTGTCCAATCCTGTCTTCCGCCCTTGTTTCCCCCTGTCAATCTCACCTGGGGTGTCCGGGAGTTCGGCAGGCCCACTCTGCCCGAACCGCTCAGAGAAATTAGCCAGCCCCTACCCGAACCACTCCGTGGATGGCTGGAAAGCTTTGAAGGTAAATTGGTCGATAACAGGTTTGAGCTAAACTTAGGGATTAGACATTTGCTTGGTATTTATATTCAAGCTCACATAGATTTAAGTAATACTGTCTGATATTAAAGATATACAGTTCAGTGAACCATTTCAACACATTTTCTTTATCCGGACATCGTCCAAACAAAATGTCACAAACAAACACACAATTACTTCTGAAGATCAAGTCCGTTACCCTCCACAAAAGTAACATCATCCACTTCAAACTTTCAGTCTAGAACCCTGAATTCTCTTCGATCTCAACATTCTCCTTTACGTAGTACAATGGAGCAATTTCAGTCAAGTGGCTTGCTTGGAAACAAGACAACCGTGTCAATCTGCAGCCTGGAAACTTTCATACTTTGGAAGAAGCTTTTACCCCCCCCCCCCCCCCCCACCAAAAAAAAGGAAGAGCATTGACATAACTGGCTGGTTTGAATGACTTAAGTTCAGGTTTTTTCTTCATTCATTTTTAGGAAAGGAGCGTATTTGCAAAGTGGCCAAAGTCTCCAAGGAAGACTTGATAAGGGATCTCAAGGAGATGACCAACTACACCAAGGACCTGACCAACAGAATTGCCTTCCTGGATCAGGTCGACAAACCACTCATCCCGACTCGTGACAAGCCTGTGGCACCGCCAAGACCCACTTCCAAACCGTTAACGTACAGGTCTCTCCCTCCAAAACCTGTAAAGCCTGTTGTTTGTTCCCCAAAGCCCACCCATAAGGCCAGCCCTAAGCCCAGCCCTAAGCCCAGCCCTAAGCCCAGCCCTAAGCCCAAACCTCGTAGCTTCTCTTCACCGGAGCAGCCCAGTGACTCCTTGTTGAACAAGCGTAGAGTCAGTACTGGTGATGGTTATGAGGTTCCTGATGTATTTGCAGGCAGGTGAGTCATGGCAGCAATATCACTGACCACCGAATCCTGGGTTATTCCCAAGCTTTTATGGATCTTCCTATGTGATGGAAGATGGATGCTATATTTTAAAGAGGCGTGCATGGAACATAAATGCATACATCTTCTCATTTTCCATGCTTTTGGCTCTGTACAATAATCCTGAGCAAAAGCAACCAAAGACTTTTTTGTTTGTTTCTGGACTCAAAGGGGTGCCCCACTCACAAGTTTCTTGTACAAAAAGTTTGGTTTACAAATCTTGATGATCTTTTGGGTTTTCTTTTTGGGACAGTGATATAGAGGAGGAGGAAGGTGATGAATATGAAGTTGTATCAGATGTAATGGACCCTACAAAACCTCTGGATGTAACCAGTCAAGAGCTGAAGAACATACTGCAACGGAAGGAAAAGGTTACTAATCATGCAGAATTCGTTCAGAAGAAATTTAGTCCATGAAAAGTCTAGAGTATTCTTTGTTTCTGTAGTAAACACCAAGAAAATTGAGATACTTACTTACAGTGAATATTTTGGGTTCATACTGTGATGCCCACTTAATGAACTGTTTTTTTTTTCATCATCAAAATCTGTGTTCTGTCGGGCATGAAATCTTGGAAGTCTATCACAAGTCTGCTTGGCTTTTACTTTTAATTGCTCATTTTCCAAAGTTTAGATCTCATTAAAGGTAGAGTACATCATTTGCAGCTATCAAAAAAGTAACTATAACCAAATTATTGTTGAAAAGCTTACTTGGTTTAAATATACCAGTGGCTCTAAACTCCCTGTGAAATTAGTCCTTCTGGCATGCTGTCATTTTTGGAAATTTCCGTTAGTAGTTGCTTTGTAATTGGCCAAATCCGTGAATGGGTGCGCGCAAGCGTTGACACAACGCACACACATGCGTCTTTGATACTATTCGTCAGTTCAGTGCTTGACATCGCGTAGCTGCAGTCAGCTGAATGAGAACGTGTTCCGGATGCTGATTTCGGGCACAATTTAAATATGACTCGGCAACTTTTGAATTGAAATCGAGATCCTAGAATATTATTTTCTCGGAACATACAGCATTCACAGAGCTAAAACTTCATCAGGTTAGTTGTTAAGCACCCATCTTCAGATTTTGAGCACTTTTGTTGCTTCAAACGAAACAAATGCACAAATGACAAATGATCTACTCTACCTTTAAAACAAACTAAGGCACTATCCATCTGAAACCTTGGAACCTGTGGTAAACAAAACATCTTGCTAAATATTCCATTGCAGAAAATAGCCACACTGAAGGAAGAAAATGAACAACTGAAGGAGAAATGCGAGGTTTGTACAATTGAGTAACCATCATTAACAGCTGTACCTACAAAGCAAGTAAATTATGTATGATATAATTATTGCACACATGATATGATATATATCGCAATTTACTTGTTCTGATATTTATAGTATAAGTGTCAAATTATCTTGTTTAAAGATTAATTCAGAACATTTTTGGCTGCAATGTTGGTGAGCATCAAGTGGAATAAAAATAGATACCAATGAAATGTGAATAGAATCAACATACTTCAGTTTTTGTCTTGTGGCCATTTTACCTTTACAGATTCAACCGTTACTATGTCAGACATCCCCCCCCCAAAAAAAAAAAAAACTGATGTGAATATCCTAATACTAATTTTGGTTTCTTTTGTATTCCGTTAGAAACTCGAAAAAGAAAAGGAGGAGATACGAGTGTCCAACTTCAGAAACATTGATGAGATCAACCGGCTTCAGGCTGAGATTGATCGTGTGTTGGCCAAAAACGATGGCGACATTTACGACTTCATTTCCCCCACCGAGAGGCCCCTACCAACCCTGCCCAGTAGTCCCAATGCGGTCATCTATAACAGCCCTCACGATCTGCTGTCCGAGAAGGTCTTGATGTCTCGCGCCGACATTGAAGGTGTGTCAGACATACTGCGGCAGCTCAACTTGGGTAAGTACGTGGAGAAGTTCAGAGAAGAAGCGGTGGACGGTGCATTACTGGTCACTCTTGACGATTCAGTTTTGAAGGAGGATTTGGGAATGACCGGCTTACATGCACGTAAGTTACTGTTGGAGGTTAAGAAATATACAAAATAGCCTGCTTGAGGGGTTACGCATTTTTCGGGTTACTTTTTTTTTGTGGAAATGATTTCATTTGAAATTGTCATAAAATTTTGTTCATTGCGGTACACTTTGCTAAATAGTCAGTGAATATTTAAGAAACATTATCACATAAATGCTTCCTTTCAGGTGGTTATGCAGGGTTAGGAGTTTACTCAACAAGAGAGGGGTTATTATTTTTGGAGGGGTTGAGCTTAGCATTAAGGTCAGTTATCAAGCGTCAGCAGAAACCTGCAATTAAATTGTTAATGCCTTAGGAAAATATATATACAGGGTGGACCCCAAAAAATGCAACCCTAAAGCATTTGCCTTTTAATAAACAAAGGGATCGTTAAAGCTGAGAGCTTTTTCTTTCAAATAGTGAGAGAAAAAAATCATGTAAATAGCACTTGGGGTTGCTGAGAAAGTGTCAATTATGTAAAAGTAGTCATTTTTCATCCTGTACACAAAACAATTACCACAGTAAGAGATTTTCCAAATTTTTTATTTTACCCTTTCAGGCAAATATGCATTGTAATATACAACATTCCCTTTTGATGTAATTTTCAGGAATGGATGGATTTGGGAGTTAGTATTTTATAGCAGATATTGTATACGCCGACTTGTTAAAAGTTTTGTATTCATACATGTAGATGGTGGGAAACCCAAGAAAAATGTTGTACTTAATAGTCTGGTTCCCTGACCCTACTTTAGACGAAACAGAGCAATTTATAGTCGTCTGGGAATTGTCAAGTCAGGGAACCAGACTAGCTGCATGGCTAATTGCACCCGTTTGCAGACATGTTTACCGATTGCAAACATAATTTGGACTAACTAAATTTGGTAGATTGGGGGCAGTATTTGAAAATAGATGTTTTCCCAACGATGGTCGGCCGACCATTGTTGGAAATTGATAAAAAAAATCCTCTTTTCTTGAAAATGACATTTCACAGGATGCTGGAGACTGTTAGGCACTTACACTCAAGTAAGGTATTTCATCATCATGAAGTAGTTTTGTTTGATGTTTGCTAATGTTGTATATTACTTTTAAATTTAAATAGAAACTGACAAAAAGAACATCTAAAAGCAGAACACTGAACACTCGGCATAAAATTTCAGGTTGTTTCCTCATATCTTGGCTTTTGCATATAAAGCCAGCTATGACAGATTACAAAACAGGAAATGCATTTAAAAATTCACTCCATTTCCTTCCAGCAACATTTGTAATTTAGTGATCAATTTCCTTGATGGAAATGACATTTGACCTTTTTAGTAGTTTCTTAACATTTTTTTTTTATGGCATCTGAAGGTAAATGATTAACTTACACTGCACATGTCTGAAAGGGTATGTAGATAACTAAAAGTGGTTCATTTTTCCTTTCTCGTTAAAGTTTATCATGAAATGAAACATTGTTAGTATTTTCTTTGTTTATATTTTTTATTGTCTGTGATTTGTTTACTGTAAAATTAAAGAACCAACAAGAATTAGAATATATGAGCTTTAGAAGAGAATAATTAGTAATAATAATAAAAAAAAAATTTAAAAAGCGCCAGTATCAGCCTATAAAGGCGCCCATGGCGCTTGAGGAGAAAGTCAAGATAGGATTGTGTGTTGTGAGAGTAAGCTTGTCTGTACAGGTGAGATTTTATGTTTGTCTTAAATGTTGTGATGGATGGAGATGATTTGATAGCCAGAGGGAGTTGGTTCCACACTCAGGCTGATGCTAGATTTGCTGCAAGTTGTATTCAAGAATCAAAATGTGATTTTGCCTAAAGTTTCAGCACGCTCGCATCTTTTTAATCTGTGATGGACACTTCGTTTTAGTGCTGTACTCATTTAAGGAAAGGATAATCATGTGGTGGAGATGAAAATATATTTTTGAGCGTTTTTACTGTCTTTTCTACATTTTGTATATATTAAAGCTCACATGTGTATATAATTTGATGTTTTAGAAAATAAGACTGTTTTGGGAATATTAAAACAATACGTTCATGAAGTTAGTAATTGCTACTTCAAATGCTTTTTATGTAGTGGAAACACGAAGAAGTTTGTCTTACTTCTAAGAAAAAAACTAATTGTTTTTCTTTTTATAAGTTGCCTTCAAGGCTTAATTCACCCGAGGAGTTAGTAAAGAAAAGAGAGAAATACAGACAAATATTCAGACACATGTAATTAATGGTGGCAGTAGTACAAGCACTAGCCATATCCTTAACATAACATTGATTTAATGTGTTTGAAGTGTTAACAAGTACAAGGGCAAGGATGGAGCTATGCAATACATATTTTGCTAACGATTAATAGTGAAATGCTAAATGCGGATGGGTACATCCCACATAGCCCTAGACTTATACCCATCGCCATATCCAAGGGGCATTGGTAAGGCAAAAACAAAAATAGGTTGCGTTGCCCTCATCAAATAGACCGAAACATATGAAAATCTCCTGTACTTTTTTTTTTTTTTTCACTTGAAAAACTTTAACCTTACCATTACTTTTTCTTTGTAATGCCATAATTTTTTCAGTTCATTACAAAACAGACCTAGGTAAATGGTAGAACGGTTTGAATTTACTGTATTTTGTGCATGTAAATGAGGCTGAGGTTTGGGGCATGTGGTGTGATGTACTGCATATATTGTATACATGTACTGTACATGTACATTGTATCGCAATCAAGTACATCTACATGCACAGCACAGTATAGTTGACGCATGCAGTACATTTAGCCTAGACGTTTCGTGTATGTTGGTAGAGGGGAACTGAAGAAGAAAGGGTAGGCCTATATGTGAACTATGTATATCTCCCCTCCCCCCCCAAAAAAAAATCCCTGACCGACCGACCCTCCTTATATTATTCATGCGGGGACATCACATAGGGATGGGTGTGAATTGTTTTCGTTTTGCTGAAAGAACGCACACTTTTTTGTGATCCGTGGACTGAACTTTGAAACGGTGGTTGTGTTTAAAATTCCGTAAATTGGACAGTACATGAGTGATTTGAATGATTCTTGTACTAAAAGAAAGCTTACGAATTGGGCTTTCATGTCGTAGATTTTGAATGTGCTACATGCAGAACTTCACTTAAACGATAGTCCCGACAATTGGGTTTTGCTTTTTTGACTCGCGCTGTACTATAAAGAAAGACTGTGTATGTATGTGTCTGTGTCTTCATGAGTTGTTCAATTGTGAGTTGCTCGACTGCAGAGCAGTCTACAGGCGGCTAAGTCGCCTCTTAGCGTCATTAGAATAATGAAAGTTATATAATTTTTCCAGTTTTTAGTGCCAAGGACTTAATTAAATACTTGATTGATTGATTTTGTTTTGTTTCTGTAAATAATATGGACAATGCAGCAATTAAAAGTACTAGTTTTCCTCTTCCAATTTAGTTTATCTAACTTTTTACCAAGATGTAAATTCTTTTTCACTTTGAGGTTAGTATTTAAAGGATTCCTCCATTTGTTTTGTTTTTTCATAGTCAGGACAAAATGGAACTTTTAAAAATGTAAAAATGTAATATAAGTAAAAAAAAAAAAAAAAAAAAAAAAAACCTGCCTGTATTTGGAGCATGACATGCTAACCAGTGTTAACTTAAAATAAAATTTGCAGCAACACCGTGTAGCAAATGTGTTTTGTGAGTTTGTGGGGTTCTGAAAAGAACCGGGGGGAAACTGAACATCTCGGACAGTATCCGCTCCGTTCACAAGTACCCCCCTCACTGGCAAAGAAGGTACAGTTGGGGGTGACCGACCGACGTCATCTTGCCTGACTGCAATTCATTTGCCGCGAAGCACGGCCACTGCGTGTACATAGTACAAATCCCCTGGTGTACGTGCGTCACGCAGAAGGAACGGTGCACGTCAACCAGTGAAATGTCCCGCCCATGGGACATTGTTGCTAGGTAAAAGGGCGCCCTCTTTTGTCGGCCGCGGAGCCTATACTCTGCCCGTCATCAGGAAGGATGCAACAGTGGAGCCCTAGCTGCACCAAGGGGAGGCTGGATGATCGGTGAGGTGTGTCATAGCACCACTTCACTGTTGGAATCCTTTCAGTCTCCTGATGACGGGCTGAGCATACTCTCCGAAATGTTGAGTTTCCCCTGGTTCTTTTCAGAACCTCACAAACTCACCAAAGACATTTGTCCCAAGGTGCTACCGTAAACCTTATCTGATTGCTATCTTCACCATGCAAACCTTCAAATCTTATCAGTGTTAACTTTACATGAATTGCCACAGAAAAAAAAATCTTAAGTGGAAACAAGAATTGTGTTCAACTTAGTTTTTATTAACTGTACAATTTACAGATGTATTGACCAAAAAAAAAAATCTTATCACTGTCTTAGTTGGAAATCAACAGTGTTGATTACCTTTGATTCTTTAAAGAAACTTTAAGAGGACAACTCAATTTTTACATTTTGTATTACATTGTTAAGACAAAATTACCTAAGACAGCCAGTCACAACATTGTTCAAAAAGGCGAAGTTGACGTTTGTTTTTGATCGATGTCAACAAACTGGAATATTTTGGAGAACATATTTTGATCCATTTCCTGAAATATTAATCATTTAGCTCTAGATTTCACTAGTATTATATGAAAGATTAAGAACTGTACCGGTTGAGTAAAAAAAAAACCAAACCCAAATGTCGGGACTATTGTTTTAGTGAAGTTCTGCGTGTAGCACTTTCAAAATCTAGGATATGAAAGCCCAATTCGTAAGCTTTCTTTTAGTACAAGAATCATTGAAATCACTCATGTACTTTTCAAGTTACGGAATTTTAAACACAACAACTGTTTTAAATTTCTGTCCACGGATCACAAAAAAGGTGTGCGTTCTTTCAGCAAAACGAAAACAATTCACACACATCCATTTGTGATTTGTTTTCGTTTTGCTGAACGAACACTTACCTTTTTGTGATCCGTAGACAGAACTTTAAAACGGTGGTTGTGTTTCAAATTCTTCAACTTGAAAATTACATGAGTGATTTGAATGATTCTTGTACTAATTGAAGGCGTATGAATTGGGCTTTCATATCCTAGATTTTGAAAGTGCTACATGCAGAACTTCACTAAAACAATGGTCCCGACATTTGGGTTTCACTTTTTTTTTACTCACCCTGTACTATGTGAGCCCTGTCACCATTACTTCACATGGGGCTCAATATAGTGCTGCAGCGTGTACTGCAGAGTACTGGATGTGCAGGCAGATTTTGTAAAGTTGCTAGCAAACAATGCCAAGGTTTGGTGTTCAAACGACAGTTATTTCAAACCAGCAAAACCAGCTTGATAAACATGTGTAAAGACTTTAACTATTCTACACAGATGTCATCAACAGTGTTAATAAACCATTGTAGCGTGCACAGCGAATCTCCCAGACAATGTACTTTTTTACTTGTTGTCAGTCTCAAATATGATTTCCTGAATCCCTGATCCATTCGTACAAAGCCAATCTGATCAATGTGAACTTATTTGTATTGGACTCCATACATTAATTGTAGATGTGCTGTATCACCTATTTATGAGCAGTGTTGTGGTCGGGTCACATATAAATTAAAAGTCAATAGACCTAAGAAATTTGACGTCACGCTTTGTTTACATGTACGCATTCCTATGGGAGCCAGGTAGGGACTAGTCTGAGTATCATTCGTTATCAACGGAGCCAAGTCCTGTATAACGTCTGATATGTCTAGACATGCAGATACATGCAAGCCGCGCCAGCCAATCGGAGTCGACTTTACTAAATCGTGACGTCATTTCATTCCCAAATCAGGACTAAATGGTTTGATTGGTCAATTCGAATGCAGTGTTTTGTAATACAACAACAGCCAGGCGCAATATCGCGTAACATGATACAGAGCGTGTGACAATTTTTTTTTCTAATCCATAGTCTTGACGCGCAACAGGTGAATGACCAAAGACCCAATATAGAAAGCGCCCGCCGATTGGTCAATATCTAGAAGATCAAGAGGCAGGGTCTTGCCTAATTAATTAGCGAATCTGTTCGCGCATAAGTAGAGACGAGAGCCAAGCGTCCCACCTGGCTCCCATAGGAAAGCGTACATGTAAACAAAGCGTGACGCCATTATGTATTCGGTTTATTCACAAGCTCTGTCAAAAATAACAAGGGATGAGCAACAACGGAACACCTTTGTGACGGTACATTGTGAACGAGACTTGAAACTCGATTACAATGTACTTATGATCCACTTGAGATTGAACTTGTGGTAGAGTTGTGATGGACTCGACTAGATACAAAAGCAGTGACAAAGGCCAAGTGCACACAGGCTCTTGCTTTGGTACAGAGTGCAGCGGCACACAAAACGAATTTAATCCGAGGTACAAAGGAATGCACCTAAGCAGTGATGGATCTGAGGGGAGGGGGTTAAGGGTCTAACAACCCCCTCTCCAACCCCCCAACTCCCCATTGGGCCACAAAAATAGGAAAATTCTGCCGAAAACACAAATCCCTACTAACCCCCCTCATGACAGCTAACCCCTCCCCCTCCCCCAAACCAACCCCCTTGTTTATCACTGAGGGCATTGTAATGCCAGGTTGGTATGTTGTTTTAATTATATACCCCCAAAAATGTCAATGTCACAAGTCAGGTTGGCGTAGCGGTACTTTCCTCGTCTTCCACCGCTGTGACCCGGGTTCGAATCCTGCCTGGGACAATATGCGGATTGGGTTTTCAGTCCCTACCTGATTCCGTGGGTTTTCCCCAGAATATTCTTCTGGGCTTTTGCGTCCCGCCTCTACAACTGTAACTTCTTATCATTGTCTTCTCTCCACAGGTTTCTTCAGGCTTGCGAGCTACAGTGCCTAGAGCGCTTTTGAGGAATCCCTGGTTTCATTACCAGAAATGATTAATAATAATAATAATAATGCGACATTGGCTACGGCTTGTCATTAAGCACAAGTTCATGGAAACGGCTCAATTTCCTTCCACTTCCCCTGCTACACTTATAACACAGGCTAGTCACCAGCAGTCAAGCAAGCACTGTGACTAGTCAAACTCAGTCAACAGACCATGAACAGACAAAGCAGGCAAGTCGTGGGCACAGCTGGCTTATTAATTACCCACAGTCAAAGCATAGCTGTACCAAGTTGATACAGCTTGTCAATCCTGCTTCATGTAGGGCTAGGAGCTCTTAACTGTTGAAAACAGTCACTTGATTGATTGATTTTGACTGAAAGGACAACTTGGCACAGAATGTACATTTACTAATGTAACCCTTTCAGATCCTTCGTCATCGGAAAAGGGGTTTTTGTTGCTTCCAGAAGGTTTTGGACAAAAGCTCCTTGGAAGTTAGGGTTAACTGTTAAACAAGTCCAATATCTAGAATTTCCTTGCAACATTCAAAATTGCAAAATTGCAATCCTACAGTTGCTGACAAGGCATGCAACATGAATAACATTAATGCCCTGAGCTTAGTGTCGTGTGCATTGTTTACATTTACAAGAAAATTCATGTCAATACATATGCAAGTATAAAATTCTTTGGAAGCATGGCTGACAACCATTACAAATTATCATAAAAATGACGTCAAATATAACGTATCAATTCATGGTATTTACAGAAGTGACAAAAACAAAAATCTTGACTCTGAACCAGTTTAAGACACTTCCTGAGAAGTTTTGACGATGGTTCAAGCGATAGCTATCTCTGTCCCGATAATTCTAACACGGAATAATTAAATGAATTTGTAATACCCGCGCCTAGCATCCTTTGGTGGTGACTGAACAGCTGCTACCAGTCGTTTACTTACCACCGCGACAGCTGCAGGGTTATAGACTAGGAGTTGCCCAGTTCAAGAACTTCATGGCAAGTTCGTAGCCGAGGAAACAAGCCTGCAAGAATGCATGAAACAAATAAATAAATAAATAAAGTGACCAAAGATACAGCTGCAGGTGATCCCTAAAAGTCAGTGTGAAAAATGGAACACATCTAAATGTGTATTTTTAGCAATCCAGCAGGAACATCTTTTTTTTTTAACATTTTTTTCCCACTTGTTTAAAGGTATAGTCCATCATTTGTAATTTGTGCGTTTTGTTCGTATGAAGCAACAAAAGTGCTCAAAGTCTAAAGAAGGGTGCTGAACAGCTAACCTGATGAAATTTCAGCTCAGTTTCAGCTGTATATTCTGAGAAAAACCAACACTCTAGGATCTTGATTTCAGTTCAAAAGTTGCTGAATCATGTTTTGAATTGGGCCTGAATTCAGGATCTGAGACACGTTCTCACTGAGCCGATTGCAGCTACGCGATGTCGCGCACCGATTCGACGAATTATAGCAGCTGCGCGCGCGTCGTGTCAATGCTTGCGTGCTTCGCCGAATAAAAAAACAAACTACTAACGGAAATTTCCAACGGTGCTTCTTAAGACGCACCGTTGGAAAATGCCTTCTTTCGTTGATTTCTTCAAAATGACAGCTTGCCAGAAAGAATAATTTCACAGGGAGTTTAGTCGCCTCACTATCTTTCAACCAAGTATGTTTTTTAACAATAATAACGCCAGTTACTTTTAGGATAGCTGCAAATGATGGACTCTGGCTTTAACTTCATTACCATGCAACAAGGTCGTATCGCCTAAAATGGCATGTGACGTCATAAACGTGAAACATGAGTTTTCAAAGTCAAAAGGTCGTATCTCTCTTAAAATTACCCGGATTTACACACAGTCAATGGACGTCGTGATTCATGAGATACGACGTTGTTGCACGGAGCGTATTCACGGGAGATACAACTTTGTTGCAGAATCGAGTTACGACCTTGTTGCACTGACGCTACGTTATTGAAATCAGGGGTGCATAACATATATTGAAGTAAATTTTTTTTAGTATTTTTGAAACCAATTTTTATTTCTCTCCACCACAAATGTGTCCATATGGACATATCATGTACAAAGGAAAAGTGCATGTCTAAATCAAAGAAAGTAAATTTACAGACATTATGTATGAATTTAGTAAACTAAAGCAAAATGGTCACATATTGTGTACAATTGTCCATTTTTTTTGGCATGGCAAAACCTAGCAAGACTTTTTTCACAAGACTTTTTTCATCCAAGTTGTTACGTTATAAGGATGTCCCGCATTTCTAACATTGCTGCTGATGACTGCTTCTCTCAAATTTGACAAACTCACCGCATTTGCTGGGAATGCCCGAATCATGACAGGCGTGATGCCCTTGAATAGCGCGAAGAATCCTTCGTTCTTGATGAGCCTTGGGAATACGTCACGGATGCCGCGAGGGTATGTCCCTTCAGGGGCTGGTGGGAAGAAATGTCAGCTCATCAATACATTGTGGTAGTAGTGATTGGTCATGGGTTCGACGATAGAGTCAAATGATCGATGGTCGGCTGCCAATAAAACAGTAGCCACATGCTATGCAATCACACATACTGTGCGAAACGCGAACAGCAACCTCGCGTGGCTAGGCTACGATATGCACATCAGGTGGTGCTGAACGAACACCTTGGAACATACATGAACCATGGCTTATCTTTTCGGGCAATTTTTCGTTATTTTGTCGCTGGGTTTATATTGAGTTATATATGGTCTGTAGACTCCAAACTTGTTGGAGAATGTAGCCAAACTCTCTATCCTTGCAAAATATGAGCCTCTAAGGCCAAGTACTGAATAATCTCATCTTTGTTCACATACGGGGTCGTCCCTGGAAATCCAGTGACAAAATAAAGAAAAACATTAGCCAAAGCTCATGAATGTGCCAAGGCGTTCGTTCAGCACGATGATTTGTGTATTGTAGCCTAGCCGCGTGAGGTCACTGTTCATACTCCGTGCAGTACATGCTAGTGTATAGTGTACGGCTACTGTTGCTTGCGACCGACCACTGATCATCGGACTCTATCGCCGAACGCCTTGACCAAGGCTATGTTGTAGTCGAATCATCACAAGTCAGTCACAAGTCAGTCACAAGTCAGTCACAAGTCAGTCACAAGTCTGTCACAAGTCTGTCACAAGTCAGTCCCAAGTCAGTCACAAGTCTGTCACAAGTCAGTCACAAGTCAGTCACAAGTCAGTCACAAGTCAAATCACAAGTCAGTCACATGTCTGTCACAAGTCAGTCCCAAGTCAGTCCCAAGTCTGTCACAAGTCAATCACAAGTCAATCACAAGTCAGTCCCAAGTCTGTCACAAGTCAGTCATAAGTCAGTCACAAGTCAGTCACAAGTCAGTCACAAGTCAGTCACAAGTCAGTCACAAGTCAGTCCCAAGTCTGTCACAAGTCAGTCACAAGTCTGTCACAAGTCAGTCACAAATCAGTCACAAGTCAGTCACAAGTCAGTCACAAGTCAGTCACAAGTCTGTCACAAGTCAGTCACAAGTCAGTCACAAGTCAGTCACAAGTCGGTCACAAGTCGGTCACAAGTCAGTCACAAGTCGGTCACAAGTCAGTCACAAGTCAGTCACAAGTCAGTCACAAGTCAGTCATAAGTCTGTCACAAGTCAGTCACAAGTCAGTCACAAGTCTGTCACAAGTCAGTCACAAGTCAGTCACAAGTCAGTCACAAGTCAGTCACAAGTCTGTCACAAGTCCTCCAGTCTCAAGTCTTGTCACCAGCTATTCAAATGAGCTTTGTCAAAAGCATTTTTTGTTATTGTTCTTCCCCTGTTACTTGTGACTGGACTTGTGATTTCCTTCTGACCGGACTTGTGATGGTCTTGTGATGGACTCAACTACAACACTGATTACTTACAACCAAACTAATTTTTTTGTAATGAAAATTTAATTCTTCAAATGTGCCTTAGGCAATCTAGCTCCCGAGCCTGAAGACACCTTCAAAGAGAAAGAGTTAAACGCACAAACCAAAGACAATGTAATATTGCTGACCCTAGGAAGTTTTTTAAAATTTGTTTCGTTGTGAAAGAGTTTTGATTTGAATACCTGTCTGTAACCTGGACTTGAGAGTGTCGGGCGCGATGGCAACAACCCAATTGAGAACTCCGGCCATGCCACCCGCAAAAAGGACACGAAGTGGGCTCAGATCCCCTGGGCTGAAAATAAAATTACAAACAAAACCATAAAATTTCTGGACTCGGATTTGATACAGAGTCCAGTTGATGTTAATTGTTACAAACAAGGTATTTTTTAATGCTATTAAACTCAAAAAATAATTGTGCTTTTGTTGACTATGATGACTGCACGGACATTGTAACACCCATTTAAGACTGTGTTCAAATTAAGTACATGAAAGGTTTGAGGTTTGAAACACGCAGGACATTGAAAGATAAATTAGTAGTGCGTTTTGTTATTCGGCGCAGCGCGCGCAAGCATTGGCACGACGCACTGGCGCGTGCGGTTGCTATAATTCGTCGGATCAGTGCACGACATCGCTTATAGCTGCAATTCAAAACAATTCAAAACATGATTCAGCAACTTTTGATTTGAAATTGAGATCCTAGAATGCTGTTTTTCTCGGAATATACAGCTGAAGCTGAGCTGAAACTTCATCAGGTTAGTTGTTCAGTATCCTTCATTAGATTTTGAACACTTTTATTGCTTCAAACGAACAAATGCACAAATTACAAATGATGGACTATATCTTTAAACATAACCTATTTTGTTCAACCATTTTAATATGTGTTCAGAGCAGGCCACTGCTATGGTTCGCAACGTTCATGTGATGTGTTCAATATCACACCTGGCATGTGCAACGCGTTCTGCCCACTTGTGGTGTGAAGCACAGGGTCTTAAAACCGTTCTTAAACATCGCTGACCGGTGTTTAAACGGCGGGTTACGACCACCCACATGACATGCTCTTTTAACGTGAAATAAAAGAACAATAAAACAAAAATGTTAAACTCAATACAGCCTATGACAAAGACCTTTTAATGCTGCCGCCATTTCAATCATGTTCCCCGTATCCAATAACACTACTGAATGATAATTTTTTTGTGCAAAAAGGAGCCAAACAATTTTTCCTTCAACCACTTCTGAATACTCATAGCATTAAAATACAGGTCAAAAAAAGCGGAACCCAAACCAAAAAAATTATATTTCATACTAAAAAAATATGTAGCACCAAAATTAATGACTGGAAAGCCAATTTCATGAGGTACTTTTGGATGAAAAAATGACTGAAAAAGGCCCATATTATTTGCCTAACCAGGGTTGTTAATAAAGATAGTGTGTGCTACAGTTGGTGACAGTTGTTGAAACAAGTATTCTGTGTCATTTTCTTTGTTTTGCCAAACAGTCAAATCACACAATGAGTCGCTTTTTTGGACGAGACAGGTTTTAGGGTCATTGTGTTTAAATGGTGATATTCTTTGAACGGATTGAGCAATTTCAGTAATTTTTTCATCTAAAAGTAGCATATGAAATTGGCTTTCCAGTCATTATTAATTTTGGTGCTACATATTTTTTTAAATATGAAATATATTTTGTGGGGTTTGGGTTCCGCTTTTTTTTTTACTCAGCCTGTACTAGTAATGCTCTTTTCACTTAAAACAATAGTAGTTTGCAAATTATATCAAAACACCTGCAACTTTGTGAAATGGAAAAAAATGAAGTAAAGTTTGGAAGGCCAATAGATGACATACTTTTTATCAGCTGGTGTGATTGATATTTTCAGCCATTCATACACCATGAAATACATGCCACTAGCTGGTACATCTGAAAGGAGACAAAAAACGAACACAAAATACAGAAGGGGTTATGAGAGATGGGAAAAAATACCTGGTGGGTCTCTGTGGTTGATAGGGTGATGATTGAGGGGAAGAGCTATTGCAAAATAAAGTGAAGGATTTTGATAAGGGGTGGGGGTTACAGCTTGGGTGACAATTCTGCCCAATATGCAAAAAGAGAAGCAACGGACGTCTTCAAGGTTCCTTTTCTTATTAAACTCCAAGATTTTTAGTCATGGAATTGATTTTCCTGCCGATATTTTCTGTGGATGCAAATACAAAGAACACTAAACCAAACTATTCATAAGATGGGCAATTCCACGGTTACTCACGTTTCATTTTCGTAACGTGAGTAACCGATTATGTGCGTCTTGTTTAATCATACATAACACTTTTTTCTGGATGTCACCTTTGGGGCTTAGGAAGGTCTAGGTCTACTCTATCTATGATGGGGATAAGAGTTATTAAACCTTTTCAGTAAGGTAATTACAGCCCAAGGAAACTCAAAAGTACATCAAAAATGTAACGTGAGTAACCGTGGAATTGCCCAGATGGAATTTGCGTCTGGGTGATGTAAATTCATTACAGTCGAACTCTGATAAGAAGAGCAAATACAAGGTCCTGCATATAACAAGCAAACTTTTAGGTCACAAGTCTCTGTTTTTCTTTGCTTTTCTTTGTTTTCCATGACTGTTAATACAAGGTACCTGTTATAACAAGGTAATTTGTAAAGTCCAAAGGACCTTGTTATCAAGGTGTTCGACTGTATTGGGTTTTGCCCTTCACCAACGTACTTTAAAAAAACTGTATGCTGAGTGTTGTCCCAACTGATCATGAGGAAAAAATTCACAAACTTCTCGGGTGGGACTCGAACCCACGACCTCCTGCTTACTAGTGCAGACGTCTTACCACTCGACCACTGAGCTTGCCGGGGTCGGCTGGCCGGTGCGAATCTGATGTACAAGTAACAATGGGTACTGTAACCAGACAATTCGTAAGATGGAATTTGCATCGGGCGGGAACCAGTCATCACTGCTCTGAGCTAGAATTACGCATGTGTTTATCGTCACCGGGACATCGAATTGTGAACTAGTTATCACGGCAAACTTGTAAAAACAACAGAGGTTTATTTTTAAAAAATAGCGAATGTAAGTAGGAAAACAAATAAGTACAAGCATTTTTACGCAAAAGGGTTGTTGAGAGGTGTTTTGTGAAGACAGAAAAGACAACAAGATTTTTAAAAATTTATTTTATATTATTATTATTTTTTTTTTTGACTTGCTGATGAAATTTTTACAGTCGCGGCCTAAAAATAGGGTCGGTCGGGTAACCGGAAGCAGAATTTTTTTGGGGGGGGGCTTAAAATCCTGTGTTTTTCCTGGTTGAGAATTTCTTGATGAAATAGCAATTGTATTAGGCTGATGAAAAAAAATCTTGGAAACTGGCTGCCAGGTTGCAAGATGATAGGTAGGAAGTTGAGGGCAAAAGTATAATAACTGCTTTTGTTAATTTGAATATGCAATTCTAAACATTATTTTTTTTATCAAAACATTGACAATTCTCTAAGCAGTCTGCTTGATAACCATTCTGCTTACCTCTTAGCAGTGTCGCAGCAGTTCCTTTGTACAATCCCCTGAATAGACCCGACTCCCTGTATATCTGCTTAGCGCAGTCTAGTGGACCTGCGTACTTGGCCTTACCGGCTGATGCAGCTTGAATCTGAAATCAAAGGCATAAACACCACACTGTTCTGTAAAGTGGATGACGCATCTTTGTACTATTCAACCAAGGCCTCGACATTCAAGAAGGGATATATCCGTCATCATTTGTCTGACCACCCCCACCCCCACCTTGGGTTTAGCACATTCTTTGGGCTAACTGTGTCAGAGGCACGATTCTGACTTCGCTGAAATTATCCGACACGAAATTTTCAACTAAACATTGCTAATAACTTCACTGCGGGAAGATTCCGGGCTGTTACTGCAAACCCTGCAAATAATGCCTGATACAATGTGTCTACTGCAATTAAAATTTTCGGCAACTAATCTCAGATATTCAATGAGTTCTACGTAAACCTTTCATCAATTAAAAAAGTGTAAAATGCTACTGTCAATGTGCATTTTAGTAGGTTGTTGCTGTAGTATGCAATTGTTAATTTGAGTTAAAAAAAAAGCAAAGCAAAAACTTTCAAAGCAACTTCCACACACTTTACCAGTGGCAGCACCTTACTCTAAAATTTGAAGGGGGGCAATTGGGGGCACGGAAATATTTTGGGGGTGGCAGTCAAAATAAAATGTTAACCCTGTGTACGCACGCACATGCCCATTGTCAATGAGCAACTTAGAAGTGTAGTCATTTTTATGAATGAGAAATGTATCAAACCACAGAATGGTGTATAACAAATGTATAACAAATGTACAAAGATGTTGGCTGCACACTGTCTACAGCTGTATAAATGCATGTGTGACGTATCTTGTACCAAAGTACCAATGTTTATAAAGCTTTCATTGGCCCAAAATGTGTCCACATTTTATGAATCTTAACAGCAAAGAAAATAAATATAACTAATTTATTTGTTGATAAAGTGTTGGGAGAAAATTTGGGGGTAAGGGAAAAACTCCCTCCCCCCCCCCCCCCTCCAGTGCCGCTACTACACCTGACCAACTAGGGAAACTCCTCACCTGTAGGAGACATTTGATGCGTTCTCCTGGGGCCATGATGGTTGTCGTGAATACACCAGCCAGCATTCCAGCTTTGAACAGCTGGTCAAATCTAAAGATACAAAAATAACGTCGATTTTTAATCACGGCAAAAATATTTCATTGCTACAGACTACCTACAAAGTGTCAACAGTCATGGAAGACAAAGATCATCTGCTTTTTAACAATTCAAATTTCAAAGGCTCTAACGCTGCCAGTGTATGTACATGTACGGAATGGCATGAAGCCCATGGTTGGAAACCAAAAGGTCCATTGCAACTTGAGTTCGATTTATGCACGGTTTTGAAGCTATGACGCACTGAGCAACGAAACTTCTGAGTTGCAAGAGGTTCCAAATGATGCAAAGTACTCAATGAGGCAAAGAGCCCAGTGATTTGACTACTGTTTTAGTTGTTTTCTACGACAGAACTAGGCCTGTGATTTCATAGATTTTACACTTCTTTCTCCGACAATGGTCAAGACTTCGATTAGAAGTCCCATTTAAGAGAACAGATAGTTCCTCTTCACATAAGTATACTAATACAATTGTTCATCTTTGTTGTAACTTTGTTTTTATCTATTTAATGGTAGAGTATGTAATTTGTCATTTGTGCATTTTTTTCGATTGAAGCAACAAAAGTGCTCAAAATCTGAAGAAGGGTGCTAAACAACTAACCTGATGAACTTTTAGCTCAGCCAATGCTGTATATTCCGAGAAAAAAACAAAGTTCTAGGATCTCGACTTCGATTCAAAAGTTAAAATTGAAAACAAACTACATGTACTAACGAAAATTTCCAAAAATGTGTCTTTGGAAATGACCTTCTTTGAGTGTTTTCTTCAAAATGACAGCATGCCAGGAAGAATAACTTCAAAGGACGTTTAGTGCCATTACTATCTTTAAACCAAGTATGCTTTTCAACAATAATTTTGTCAGTTACTTTTGGATAGCTCCGAATGATATACCCCGCCTTCAACAAAGAATGAGATTCATATACATTACATGTTTTGCACTTCTTCAAATCAACATTTGTTCTCAATCCAATCTGCAAATGAGCATTATTCTTACTTTGGAACAGGTTCATATTGTATAAAAATTCTGGTCTGGTTCAATTTTTGAGCTACTTGCCTACTAATTAATCCAGTACATTTGTACTCATGTTGACTTGAGTCGTGCAATAATGTGAACTCCGTTGTTCTTGAGGTTACTCACCTATAAATCCCATCTTTATCTGGAGTCTGGAGTTTCTTACCGATGCTGAAGCCAAGGAAACAAGTGGCATACATAGGAGTCACTCCCAAGATGGGTGCAAACATGCCCTTGTATAAACCAAAGAATCCCTACAAGTACAAAACAACCACAGCACGACATCAGTAGGGATTGCTGCCTGCATGGGGCAGGGATTGAATCGTTTAGCTTCAAGCAAAATTGAAACCTCGATCCTGATTAGTTGAATATCATCAGGAATCATGGTCCATATTAATTATTGCACTCAGTGTGTCATGCTGTTCTAAAATGTGAGTGTTATTTCTGCTGAACGCACACGTAATACTGTAACCGCCGAAAAGTTCCTAAGAAATGTCCATCTTTAATGTGACAAGTCCGCTTTAACGCGAACAGAACTCAACCCATCAAACCACAACAGCATGTATTGTTGGAATCTGTCTGGATGGGTGCAGTACATGTATCCCTAAACTGACAGTCTTTTACATTGGGTTGGCACACTTCCAGAAACAAAGTCAGAAATATGTGTGTGCAGTTTCCCATATTGTGTTGGAATTTGCCAGGATGGGTATGGTTCCTAGTAAATCATGCAAGGGAGTTAGGTTAAGGTAAATTAATCATCCAACTCGAGCTTGTGGAACATGGAAACCATGGACACTGACACACAAAAAGTATAATTGGCATTGAATTGTTTAGATTTCTTCGTTCTGCCAGGCATCTTTACCTCTTTAGTGACGGTTTTCTTGGCACAGTCCCATGTTCCTGCGTAAAGTGGAGCAGCGCCTGGTGCCGGGGTGGGCTGGGTCTGGAGCCTGACCTGAAATAGGAAAATTCACATAATTCAGTGTGCACTTTTAGATCTAGTAAAAGACACATGTATATATGTGTCTTTCTCATTTTAGGAGTACAGCATGTGTGCATTCACGAAAGCATAGGGTGAGATTAAACCACCCAGGGGAAACACATCGGACTTAGACTTTTTTCATCTTTCCCATTCAGTTATTGTTGACTGATTTATGCCCTGGGGGTGGGGGGTATAAAGGAAAATAGCGCCCTCATTTTGCCATCGTCATCCTCACTCACACTCCACATCCGTGAAGGTCACTCCACAAAATACTCCTAACATTTGACCCAGAATACTTTGCGAAGCACACAAACCTTTCCAGAAAGAAGTGCGCGCTCGGTAATGGAATCGCACTCGGGATGTGGGGACCATCGAATGTACGCTGGGCATGAAGAAGAAATCACGTCGTTCAAACATTAACATGAGTAGGAAATTTAACGTGTTCAAGATCGCGAGGGGAGCTCTCAGAATTGAACGGGAAATTTCACTCTTCTTCCGGATCGTAAGTAGGCCCTAAACTTCAGTACAACCATCTTATGACAGGATTATGTTGTCCAGCTCACACTATAGCTTGGACCTTACTATCGCCAGACCATGTCCAAATGTTAAAAAAGGCAATAAGTTGGGTCCAAGTTACTCGGACTAAAAATTCGCCAACGAATGACCGTATGTTTTTGCCTAGTTCTGATCCTGATCACGCATGCACACAGGACCCAACTAAATGCGCTTTAAATTTAATAGATTTTATGTGACGTATTCTTTGATGGTTCAAAGTTTTTCACACTGCAGACAAAAGTTTCACTAGGCCTAGGCCTAGGGGGCCTAATTCTCTTTTTAAAATTTGCTGGAATTACTCGAGTGAACTGTTTTTTGAAAAATGAAGTAGGGCCCACCTAGGGCCTCTTTTTTTCGCTTTTTCTTTGAAGATTACACATCATCCAGCACCCCCCCCCTCCCCCCCCGGCCCGCGCATTGGGCCCGGGGGGGGGGGGGGCTAGCTGAATAGCCCCTAAACAGTTTTTTACACGCGCATAACACTGTCACGCCCCAACTATCGCATCGGTCCCAACTATAGTTGGGCCTGTCCCAACTATAGTTGGGCCTGTCCCAACTGTAGTTCCACAGTTGGGCTGGCCCAACTATAGTTGGGACGGTCCCAACTGTAAGTTCCATTGTTGGGCTGGCCAATCTATAGTTGGGCCACCCCAATCTTTTTATTTTGCGGTCCCAACTATAGTGTACATTGTTGTACGATTATAATACATTCCCTACAACTCTAATACACATCTGACTTTACTGGGGACCAATGAAATGATCTATGGGTGGGGACCATCTGTAGTTGGGCCACCGCAATATTTTTATTTGGCAGTCCCAACTATAGTTTACATTGATGTACGATTATAAAACATTCCCTACAGCTCTGCTTACATGTCCGACTTGGGACCTTTGACATTAGCTATGGGTGGGGCCCATCTATAATTGGCCGGCCATGGCAATCTTTGAATTTTGCAAAATGTTGCTGGATAATAAAATTAAAACCCAGCAGCTGGACAACTCATCCAACTAGGCAGTACCATGTGACCGGCCAGCCTTGCGGCATGCATGCACGACAAATACATGGTGCCAGCGCCGCGGAACATTTAATCCAACAAGATCTATCAAGCATGAAGCATCCGGCGCAACTCCAGTCCTAACTATAGTTGGGCCGACCCAACTGCCGCACTATAGTTGGGACCGTCCCAACTATAGTTGGGACCGATGCGATAGTTGGGGCGTAACAACACCACCACGGCACGGGTCACAGGGCTAGGACAGCGCAGGACAGTCTCGGATTTCAGATAATTGCTCATTCTCACCTTGATCGTATCGAGTGGATGACCAGCCACCACAAGGCACACTCCACCAAAGCCTCCGGCAAGAAAGTTCTTCGCGGGACTTATTTCAGACATCCTGAATTATTGGACTGATTTCAGCTAACTGGCCAACAGAAAACAGAAAATCTCGAAACGCCGGTAACCGGACTTTCCAGAGTTGCAAATTAATGACGTCTGGACTTTGACCTCCGACGGCGCGACGTGCACTGTTTTTTTGCAGAGCTAGCTGCGGCAGCCAGACTAATAATTAACTTCTAACTGCCAATTGGTGGCGCTATGCTACTTTTACGGCAGTCTAGCTCGCTAGCTCGTGATCGTTCAATTGATTTGATGACGCATTGCGTCCGAGACAAGAAGCCAAGTAAAGATCCAGTACTTTGTACAGCACACTTTCGCAAAATGTGATTCGGCCAGCCTTCTGCATACAAAGCCTCACTGGCCTGGGGTTTTGTGCGTAAACCTCTTCAGTCAGCCGATCACACTCGATTGACTTCGACAAAACCGCAAGTCCCATTTTTTCTAGCATCACCGATTTTACAAAATTCTGCTAACAATCTGGTACAAATTTCCTTATGCTATATAGATTTTCTGCTGGATTCGCTTCTTTTTTTCAAGCAGTCTGTCAAGTCTAGCCGAAAATCGGTTAAAACGTTATCTTGTGCGGTACAAAATAATGTACACGTATTTCGTCTGCTCATTTTTTTTACCAGACTCCCTCGTCCAATCAAATTGGCTAGATTGACGAGAAGACGTCACCAACATACTTCTGACCAATGAGAGACCGGCCACGCGAGCAACGCGTGCTACATCACGGATACTTCCGGAACGCCCTCCCGTCTTATAAAAAAATAGGGCATTTTTTTTCCCGAAACTGATGCTACTCCATCTGGAAATGAAGACTTTGTCCATCATATTTGTTTCTTTTTCTGTAATTGACAATTTCCATACGTGATTAAATTTTTGGCACTATGTTTGATATGTATAAGTGGAGAAATTTAGAATGCGGAGAAATACACATTGAGTACTCTGGCCCAAGGCCGCGCAAAGACCAGTACGGAGCAACAGCCAATGATATAAAACATGACACTTTTCACCTCCATATCATTACGCCATGGAAAATTACCGAGAACGGGGCCGGGTCAATTACGGACACTGTACTGCAGGCAGCTCGCAATGTCTTCCCGCTATTTTTGGTCAGTCACCAAAACTTGCCTCAAATTTAACAAGTATTGATACTTTAACCTCCGAGTCTGCCGTCCAGCTTCAAGCCTCCAACGCGGAAACTTGTACATCATACCCTGGAGTCTTCATGGGCGCAAAAGAACATCAAATTTGGACGCTTGGAGTCTCGCAAATCGACCAGAAAACCGGCCTCGTGTACGGGGTCACTGCAAAGCTTCGACGCAGACATGTTGCGTCGTCGTCACCCATATTGAAAGACTGAGTTGAACTTTGCTGTAGGCCTACAGAACTTGTCATAACTTTTGTTTTATAGAACTGAACTGGACTTCGCAAAGCATTCCTTTGAATGCTCATTTTGTGCTGAACTGAACTGAATGGACGCATGGAATTTTTGTGAACTCATAATTTTGTCGAATGATCTGAATGACGTTTTTGGAAAATACTGAAGTCAAGCTTTTGGAGTTCGTCGGGGTAAGTCCAACTTTAATTAAGGAACTATCGAGGTGAGTGAAAATGTATCTTCTCCTCCCGTCACACAGAACCAAAAGAGGAAAAAGTGTCCCAATATTCTGCACTTTGAGCAATATGGTATATGATATATCCGCCTGCACTTTAGACTTCATTTCGAAGAAAGGTGGAGTCAGAAAATATTCATTCTTTTCTTTGACTTTGATCCTTGAGTCGCATTTAAATTGAAAAAAAATGTAATGTTATCTGCAACAAGCATAATGTATTGCATTCTGTACATGAGGTTGTATTTTGCATTGTTGAATATTGTGCGATAAACTTCTAAAAATAATTGGAATATCGACAAGCACGAAATAATCATGTGTGTTTGCTGCCAACGAAATCGCGTCCATTTTAGCCTACACTGAGTCGTTTTCATTGCTGAATAACCTATTGTACGTTGAAATTCCATTCCCGTAGGCGAAAGCCCTTTTGATTCAGACTTATTAGCATGTGAATACCTGCCATTTTGTTTGTCAAAATCGTACATGCACATTCCGTTTGGTGCATTGCGCATTTCATGCATTGTGTCAAAAGCTAGCTCGTGGTGCGAGTCTGCACGTGGGCCGCTCGTGGCCGGCGCAGTGTGGGCGTGGTAATAGATTACGGTGATTCTTATTGGTTGAAAAGTTGAAAGGCCGCGCGCGCGGTATGCGGCCAGGTGCACCGTTTTTGCTACACTTTCAAAGACATTCCAGCAAGGCAGGGGCTTATAGAGATTTGCTCAAAAGTTGGAGTAAACATGTTTAGATTTTCGTTGGAGGGTTCCTTGGAATTTGGATTGCCTTTTTGTTATGATTGTATTAAAATTACAGGTTTAAAACTTACCAGAACAAATAGTTTCGAACTTTTATGTAATTATTTAAAGATGAAATGAAAAACCTGAACACCATAAAGGAGTCAACAACGGAGCCAACGGATTTTATCATCAACCTAAATTTATTTAATGTAAGCACACTATTTTGAGTATTATAGGGCGGTATTCCAATGGACCAAAATCAATTTTTTTGGACAATGTATCCACGGATTTCAAATTTACATAAATTGCTCAAAATAATTAACTTTACACCATTAGCTTCAGGGTAACTGAAATATTGAGAGCTGAATTATTATGATTATGATTGTATAAATAGAGGTGTTATAACAGATAGCCGACGGAATTATTTGAAACTGAAATGAATTGGAGAAGACCTGCTGTTGCGATCGAGACCAGCGAAATTCGACGTTTGGAAGAAGGCAAATATGGCAAAGTTATGATTGTATTAAATGAATGCTTACGGTTTAGGTTAAGGCGTAGGGTTAAGGCGGGGTAGGTTGGGGTATAGGCACATAGCGAGCGTAGGCAGCCGAGCACACCAGCAGCAGCGTAAGGGAGCTTGACCTGGCACAGCCATGGTGTAAAATTAACTTATAAAAATATTTTAACAAAACAATTTAAAAATTACCTTTTCGGGGCACAGTAAAAATCGTCGGGCAAATCGTAGCTTGATCCTTAAAATAAAATTAACGGTAGTCAATTCAAAATCTGCATCGAGGTAGTGCATTGTAATGGGAAAATACAATGTTATCAATATTAGAAAATTTCTTTTTAATATCAATTTTGGTTTTTGAAATAAGTAGACACACGTTACTGAGCTCTAAGCTTACATGGGTTGATGAGCATCCGTCATTTAAAAAAAATAGGAGGACATCGTTGGGGTAGTTTTCGCGATGTTATAATTGTATGTATGATATCGTCTTCCCGAGAAAGTGTTCTTGCTGATATCTTGTAGGTGAGATGCCGTCTTCCCGAGAAATAAAATATTTCCCGGGTTGATGATATCTTGTAAATAAGACATCGTCATCCTGAGATAATGTCATCACGGGTAGGTGATATCTTGTTTGTAGGGTGAGATGTTGTCTTCTCGAGAAAAAAATCTCTGGTCGATGATATCTTGTAGGTGAAATATCTTCTTCCCAAGAAAGAAAACATTTCTCGGATTGAAGATATCGTGTTGGTCAGATGTCATCTTCTCGAGAACAAAATGTATCTCCGGTGGATGATGTCTTGTAGGTTAGATATCGTTTTTCCGAGATAATATTTCATCACGGATTGGTGATATCTTTTAGGTGAGATGTCGTCACCTCGAGGAAATAAAATATTTCTCGGGTTGACTATATCTTTTGGGTGAGATGTTATCTTCTCGAGAAAATGAAATATTTCTCGGGTTGATGGTATCTTGGAGGATATCGTCTTCCTGAGAAGATTATTCACTGGTTGACGATATCTTAATTTTCATATTTCCCGATACCAAATCAGTTAATTATTTCATTAAAACGGATGATAGATGTCTACTTTCCGGTGGATGATGTCTTGTAGGTTAGATATCGTTTTTCCGAGAAAATATTTCATCACGGATTGGTGATATCTGTTAGGTGAGATGTCGTCTTCTCGAGGAAATACAATATTTCTCGGGTTGACTATATCTCTTGGGTGAGATGTTATCTTCTCGAGAAAATGAAATATTTCTCGGGTTGATGGTATCTTGTGGGATATCGTCTTCCTGAGAAGATTATTCACTGGTTGACGATATCTTAATTTTCATATTTTCCGATACCAAATCAGTTAGATGATAGATGTCTACCTTCGGCGATAAAAAAAAAATGATTTTATCAACTCATAGCTACTACGGAGCTCTTTAAAATATAACTATTGTAAAAAAAAAAAATAAGTCTTTTACTGAATCGAAATCATTAAAACAGCTTTTGTAACTGGAAAATAAAATGAAAATGTATGTCCGAAGTTTCAAATCTTAAGTTCAGAAAAACTCTATGAGGTTTCCTATTTTGAGGGATACCAATGAATAAAAATTATGGCAAAGCTATATATGTAGCCAAATAAAATATAAAAATTAAAGTGCATAAAGAGCAGGTGGTAATAAAATAATAATACATCAATAAATAAAATTTAGGAAGCTTTAGCGTGCTGCAAAAAGCGAGCAAATAGCAGCTTGCGAGACAATTAGGAACTTTGGGAATCGGGGAGGGAACGAACGTATATAATTTATACCAACATTATCCTGACATGTGCATTGGCAATAATAACGCCAGCTGAAGTATGAAGAAAATTAAGTTTTAACGTTTGGGATTTTATTTGAATAATACAAAAAGTGAAGAATCAGCGATGAAGATGGACCCTCGGAGATGTTATCATATCAACAGAAATCAATATTAATGGCCTTGCCTGCGGCCGCATCACAACCATATTAAGTTTGCTGATTATTTTTGTGTAAAGCCGAAGGACTTATATACCTTGAAGAAATAATGGTGTAAAGATGTTCATTATGCATTCCTCTTCAAACTTTTGCGAAATAAGTTTGTAAACTGTTGTGTTGAATAATGACTATTGGAATACCGCCCTGTAGAGGTTAAAGTATATGATTAAGAAAGACGACACCCTTGATGGGTGCTACTATTGAGAAAAGCGACACCCTTGATGGGTGCTACCATAATCTCACCCTTGATGAGTGCTTCTTTTGAGAAATACAACACCCTTAATGTTACCATTGAGAAGGACGACACCCTTGATGGGTGCTACTATAACACCCTTGATGGGTGCTACTATTGAGAAGGACGACACCCTTGATGGGTGCTACTATTGAGAAGAACGACACCCTTGATGGGTGCTACACTATGTACTGTATTGATTAACACGACACACTTGATGGGTGGTACTAGGCAACGCCCTTGACGGGTGCTACTGGTGAGAAGAACGACACCCTTGATGGGTGCTACACGACACCCTTGATGGGTGCTACACGACACCCTTGATGGGTGGTACTAAGGCAACACCCTTGATGGGTGCTACTATTGAGACGAACGACACCCTTGATGGGTGCTACTACTGTATTGATTAACACGACACCCTTGATGGGTGCTACTATTGATTAACACAACACCCGTGATGGGTGATCGAGAAAGACCTCACCCTTGATGGGTGCTTCTATTGAGAAATACGACACCCTTGATGGGAGATTCTATTGACAAAGACGATACTCTTAATGGATACTTTTATTGAGAAATATAACACCCTTGATGGGTGCTACATTACCAACAAATTAATTCAGTATAGAATTATTAATGTATAAAGTTGTAAAACCAGTAAGAGATTATGTTTTGTAGAGAAGACCAAGAGAGTTAAAGATAATTACATTTTCCAAGGAACCTCTCCGCACGATTAATAGTTCATCAGACACAATCTTACCAAGCACCAGATGGGAAAGGAATAAAAAAAAATCCCGCCGCTTGGATGTGCAAATAAATTTGAAATAATTTTTTTCTTAATGCCAACGTTTTTGGGTGTCAGTAATGTACGATTCCGAAAATAATCACTTATTCGAAATGAGCACTAGCGCGGCTATAGGTTCGATTGAAAACGTCTTTCAAAAAAGATCTTCAAAGGAAAAATAAATCAATGAGGAGAAATTATAGGAGCGTAAAAGTGAAATCCAAAAAAACCTCTAAATGTTAATCATTTTGTTCGATAAAAGTAGACGATGGATATCGACCTGCGGGTATATTAAAACAGCAAATGTATCGTTCGTTAACGACTACGAGTGAGTTCGTGTTGAGTTTGAGCGCGAACAAAGTTAGCGTCAATCATTAAATTTTGCCAATCATTTGTTCGATTTGTGAATCGGAAGAAAATAATACATGGATTTACGGGTATGTATTGAAACAACAAATATATCGTTCGTTCACGATTAACGAGTTCGTGTTGAGTTCGAGTGCTAACAAATTTACCGTCAATAATTACATTTTGTCAAGCATTTGTCAATCATTTTGACCGATTTGTGTATCGTAAGAAAATAAGACGATGAACCTGCGGGTATTGATTAAAACAAAAAAATGTATCGTTCGTTCACGAATTATGAGTTCGTGCTGAGTTCGAGTGCGAACAAAGTTAGCGTCAATCATTAAATCTTGTCAAGCAATCTTTTGACCGATTAGTGTATAGGAAGAAAATAAGACGGTGTATATCGACCTGCAGATATATTAAAACAACAAGTGTATCGTTCGTTGATTACGAGTTCGTGTTTGAGTTCAAGTGCGAACCAAGTTCGTGTTCGAGCTCGAGTGCGAACAAAGTTAAAAGAGTGTATGATTGGGCCAACTGCTAAACTACGTACAGCACCTGCTATCTAGGAAGGATTTTTTATGTCGAAATCATGATGGGGCCATGTGTAGTAAATCGTTCTGCTTATCTTCCAATTTGCACCATCTGTACAGAGTTTTCATGTCTACTGCTTGACATTTAAAGACAATGATTGTGAGCTGTAGTGGGTCAATGTTTGTACTGAATATTTTTTTTCGTTTGTAACAATTCGTGTTAGATATTTAGGGTCATGTGTACGAATCAATTTTTTTGAAATTCTAGTCGCGTCTATCATGCATTTTCTCGTCGTTCCATATTGATTGTCATTGTGAAAAAAATCCTAGGGCCATGTGTACAAACCTGTCATCACCGTTTTGAAGATATTTCTGCCAAACCCAATTTTTCTTGCGTTATCTTCTGTACTTATGTGACAGATTATTTACAGGATTCCAGGGCCATGTGAACATGTCTTACTTTGTTTTTGTAAAAAGTCTTTCCAATTTATTATACGAAATTATTTAGGGCCATGTGAAGTAATTTAGAGATCTTCTATTCCTCCGTTCTGCAGAAATTTCTGCAATTTTCTTGAAAGCTGCTTGTGCATTCATCCCGTCTTGAGTGCGAATCATCGTGTAATATACTCTAGGGTCATGTGTTAAGTATCCATAGCTATTTTGAAGCTTAAAAAAAGCTCAAATGTTGGATCCAAGTTTTCTTGTATACTCTGTATTCCTCACCTGTTGTAACTTCGCCGTGGGCCATGTTGACAAATCTACTATATTTGTCCATGTTACAAAAATTGTCTTGGAGATCTATTGTTATATACAAAAGCTCTACCTGTATAGGGCCATGTGCAGATCTTACAGATTCATTGAAAAATGTAGCGGTCGTGAAACGTAATCACAATGATGGTTTCAACGACTCCACGATTATTTTGACATGAAATAGTCTCTGATCCTTGTCGAAATGTGTCGTATGGACATGAAGTATTGTTTGTGATTTGTTCTCCCATAATATCCATTTCGCAAAGATCGATAATTGCCTTTTGTGTTAGGGCCATTGTGTCAATTTTGTTTATTGTAAATCAGGTGTAATGACACCTGTAGAGTCGGATACACTTTGTAATCGCTCTGTAAAGTGTATAGCCTGAATTTACAGGATGAAACAATGTGCATTAATTAATTTAACAACCACAACACCAGTGGAGGATTTGATCGATGGTACATTTGAATTCTGATAAGTCCGATCACAGCTGGTCGGCAATGTGAATGTTGTTTCCCTTTGAACCGCGTTGCGCGTCAGTGGATGCGCGGTGCTTTGCGCAAACTGGAATATCATCTTCGCGACCAGTAGGCCAAATTATCTATTTAGAATAAACTAAGCTTTCATTCTCAACGGTTGAATCCATTACAGTGGTCAGGTAAGGGCCACTAATCGGATTATTTTCACTGTCTGTATGTAACATACTTTGCATCCAATTTGGCTTAGAGATCTAAGTAGCGTAGACCTAAACTAAGTTTCCCTTTTTTTCTCTATGGTTGTATCTTTATAGTGGTCAGGTAAGGACTACTAATATACGTTTCCTTCTCTTTATACCACTGCACCGATCTCAAATTTGATCAGGAATCCACTGTACATTGTAGTTACAAAACCTAGCTTCGCTAGGAAGACTTCTTTTATTTCCAGCAACTTGCAATTAGATTGGGAGGACCGGCAAGCCAGAGTGCTCATGTCGGGAGCTGATGACACGGAGGAACCGGAAGCAGGGAGGAGGAACACCGGATGACTGAAGACCCTGCTTGCCGGGCATCCCATTACTGATTTCCCAGGTAAAACTATTAACGTTATTTTCCTTTCGAACAATGTCTTAGGGTGTTTTAAATTGTTCTGATTATTTTGTATGCGATTAATGATACCTTTTTTTTTTAAATACGATAAATCTAGAGGAAAATAAATTAAATGTGAAATTAACAATCACTTAACAACTTCACAAAAGAAGAGCAACAGGCGCATAATTATTGTCCCACACACATTTTCTTACATGTGTTCCTTTTAATCTTCTGGCAGAGATGACGGTCTGTAAGATGAGATGTCATTCTGGACGAAGATACAATCACTTCTGAATCCCAAGGAACCGGAAGCAGGGAGGAGGACCGACGGAAGGACTGATGACCCTGCTTGCAGAGCAAGTCTTCACCAATTCTTGAGGTAATTTAGCAAAAGGGATTTAGATGTATTTTTCATTTATTCATTTTCTATTTTTGTCTTAGTCTTCGGGAAGTGGCATATCGAACTTTTTATGGCAATCTTTTCACTCCGATAGTTGGGTTGTGCTTCGAATGTGAAATATGTAATATAATAGATAAAGGGCCTATTTCTTTTATCTTTGCAGATTCCTCTTGTTTCGTGTAAGCAGCAGAGACGATGACAATATACATAACGGAGTGCAGTTGTTCACCAAGGCAGGAACACGAATTTTAGCAACACTCGACTGAGTTTTACAATAGCTAGCTCCTGAAAGTTCCCATAAGTTTCTCTTAAAAAGTCGTCACATTTTATTAATCCGAGGGATGTATAAAGACACCATCCCATTCAAAATCCTTCCAAAAACCTGCTTTATAAATTTAAAAAGCTGTATATGTCAACTTATTTAATCAATAGGTTTAAGTCCTACCTAAGTGGTCGTAGTCAGTCTGTGAATATCGAGGGCAACATGTCAAAGGTACTGCCACTAAAAACGTTGGTGTTCCGCAGGCTAGGGGTCGATCTTATGTCCACTTTTATTCATTATTTATTCTAGTGATCTACCATCTTGTATCCCCTGAACAACGTATTAGTCATCGGTGATATTTCTGTCAATATCACACTAATTCAAAAATGTGCTGATCTACGGAGTTACAAACTTGGTTGCCATGCACGGAAATTTGGAGCCGGATCGGGAATTTCCCCGTGTTTTTTTCCCAAATGAGTTTTGGCGAGGTTTTTGCCCATCCCGCAGTGGCGTAGCCACAGGGGGGGGGGGGGGGGGGGGGGGCGACAGCCCCCATGAAACCTTGTCGCCCCCCCCCCAGTCGCCCCCAATGAGATTTTGAGTTTTTAAAAAAATTATCATTGATCTACATGACAACCCCCCCCCCATGAAATGTTCCAGCCCCCCCCCAGCGCCCCCCCCCCCCCCCATTGAAAAATTCCTGGCTACGCCACTGCCATCCCGTAATCAGCAATTCGTGCCTTACACTGGAATGTTTAACATGTATTTTTACAAGCTTTATTTGAGTAAGAAAAATTGTAAATAAGTCGTGTTTGTAAGTATTTGTCTGTTTCACATGTGCACTTTTCCTTGTAATTTTAGTTTGAGTAAGTTATTTAAAAAAAAAAATGAATGCAGGGCCCCAATGGAAACCTATTTAGGCGTACCCTTGGGAAAGAAATGCAATAAATAAATTAATAAATAGATAAACAGAGGATCGGAAAGGAAATCATCAGATTTTCCAATTTATTGGTTATGGGTTGTTATTTAAATCCCGCAAATGGGAAAAATGTGATAATTCATTTTTCGCCCATTCCAAGTCCATTTTATGGTAACTTTCAAATTATCAAATTATTCATCGTATGTACATTTACACACTCGACATTTTATTTTCTTCTCTTTATAATGCCATAATTTTATATAATGAATATTTGAAGAGTTTATTTTCAAACGCGCGACATGTCCATTTGATAAAAGTGACAAATTGAACGGTTATGAAACTTTAACCCTAAACCTGCTGAATCCAACAGGATCCAGCTATACCAGTTACCCGTTGGAGCCTGTTGGATTGAGCAGTAAACCCCTGGTACAAAATAATGTACATATTTCCTTTGTTTCTGATTGCAATATGTTGTACTCGGCAGGCAACTGAAAACATTCAAAGTCGGCTTCTGTTGGGTACTGGTAAATAACGCCAAGTTGGACTCTGTTGCATGGATCCACATTAGAAACACACTAAAAATGGTCCGGTTAACTTATTCTTTATGATGGGACTTGCGGTTTGCCGAAATCAATTGCTGACTGATAAGGTTTACGCACAAAACCACGAGCCCATGAGGTTTTGTATAGAAAGCTGGCCGACCACGTTTTGCGAGAGTGTGCCGGTAATGTCGAAAAGTTGAGGTCGGGGTTTTCAAGACCAAGTGGCATAAAAAGGGGTTTAGGGTGGGGTGGGTCTCAAAGCCTGTGCCCCGCTCAAAATTTGAAGCCTTTTTTTTTTCAATTAAAAAAAAATAAAAACACTGAAAGCCATTCCGCCCTCCGGCCCCGGCCCCTGCAGTACAGTAAAATCCACATTTCGGTGCGGATGTGTGGTTGCCCCCCGATATCAAAAGCTGGATACTGCGTGGAGGGGTGACCACTGCCTGAATCCTGCAAAATCCTGCAGCAGTGACTGTCAGTATGTCCATAAAAGTGCAAAGGTCCATAAAAGTGCAAAGTGCATCCTACGAAATCAGCAACACACTTTTGCCATGTACCTCAATCCTCCAAATTCCTCCACTTTGGCAGAGGATTTTAAAGGATTAAAAAAACGTGTTTTTAAAGTCCACTTTTACGTCCCGTATTTTTTTTAGCTAGCCCCATTGCCGCTAAATTTGATCTTCCACGTACAAAATACGTGAAAATATCGCTGCGCAAGCGCCCATTAACCGCGGATTAACCGAGGTGCTAAATGTTTTTTTGTCGCAATCTGCTCTTGAACAATAACTGTGTTGATGGTCCACGTATTTGGAAGGGTATGATACCATTACTGAACCGTCCCGAGGTAGTAAGTGACCTAATTAGCTTAGAAAGGCTAAGTTGTAATGACACCAAAGGGTGCTAATTGATATAACGGCGATCCGTTACTCCCCAATATTTATGTCACAATGTTGCAGCGAAGAAACAAACTTGAAATAATCAGACATCTAACATCAGATTCAGTGCAATTCGACGCATTGCCATCGGTTTCCAAATTAAGTACCAAATATTAAACACATGTCATCTTGGCCCAACAATTAAATTGAGATTCTCTGTGCTGGTCTTCTTTTTTCCCCAGATGCATGTACGAGAAGACTGCGAACCTCCCGATACTGCACATGTGGAACGCTGCCCTAATCATTCCAATTTTCACAAGACAAAAACATTTATTCATATAGTTTATTACAAATGCAGAATCACGTTTGTGTATTAAGCACTATAAAATTCATATACAATAAAAAGCAACTTCATATTTTTATAGCACAGTTGATTAATCTCTTTGTGTACAAAACTTAAATAAGAAACTGTTCAGTCCCTTGGAATGTTGATGATTCTCCATTCAACAAAATTTCCAAAAAAGAAAAATCATTACTTCTTTTATATTTGAACGCTTACTTGTGGCAAGCAAAAAAAATGCAAAAACTAAAAGGCATGCAATGCAAAGTAACACCACTAAAATTTGTCTAAAAGTCTTACCTGACACTTTTCAAAGTCAACAGAGGGCGATCTAACAATACACATGGACTTGTGCTAGTACTCCAGTATATGGAACAGTTTAAGTAAAATATTGTACAACTTAAAACAATATCATGTACAACATTTAAACTAAACAGACACATTATTGGTTACTTTGATCCTGCAGCTTGAAAATCATTTTTTTTTAAACTCAATAAAACTGACATAAACAATACTCTATAAAAAGGATTAGAATGTTTTCAGTAATGTATCTAGTTACTGTTTTTAAGGGAGAAATGGTGAATACCTCCCAATACTTTTGAAAGTTGAGTAAACATTCTAGCACTGTCTATGGACAATGAAATCTTAATAAGTTCAAAATTTGACTTAAGTAGAGTTTTGAGTTATGCAGGGTGGTATATCATTGTTATACTACTGAAGGCAATGGATTTTGATCAGAGTTTGACTTATGGAGATTTCACTATAGTCAGTTCCTCTTAACTTATTCCACGATACTTACCTCACATTGAAAAACTTGTATACAGTCATGACAGTGGAATGCCTATACATGTATGATGAGGTCATTAGGACTTTACAAATTACCTTGTTAAAACAGGTACCTTGTACTCAAAGTAATAGAAAACAAAGAAAAACAAAGACTTAGGACCTAAAATATTCCTGGTTATAGACCCCTCTCATAGGATGCCCTCTTGACTTAGGAAAATCACAACTGCGTACTCAGTCCCAAAGCCATCAGGTATGTTTGCGCGCAGTGTGCAAAATGTTCTAAACAGGCGCACATTTGCTTGAAATTTCTTTGAAATACTGCCCAGTTGATGCGCATCACGAAAATTTGACTCCCAAAATGCCAGTGCACGTGACTATCTGTAGGCAGTGATGTCATTTGAAAGATCTATAAGCAGGATATTTTATTAACAGTACTCTTCTTATCAGGGTTCAACTGTACTCTTAAACTCTGTGTGGCGTTGTGTTCCCTACCCATCATCACCAGGGCCACTGAGGGAAAGAGGCAGTGCAAATGCGCTGGTCCATAGGCATGATAGGCAAACATGTATAATGTGGAGTGAAGGAGACTAATGTTCATCTGCATCCACCAACCCAATGCATCTTTACTGACATTGCGAATGAGTTTGGGCACATGGCGGCCTCCAACCTTTTGTGTATTTTTTTGTTTAATTTACAAGCCTAGGCACTTGTATAGACTAATCCAGCAACAGCCATTTTCTGCGGTGGCACCAGGCGCGCGAGTCACGCTCAGGTAGTACGCACGCACTCCGGGCTCCTTCAACCAATCGATTTACCAAAATGCACGCGTGCCTCATCTTTAAAAGCACGTGCAGCATGTGCGCGAGCGTGGCTCCACCGCAGTTTAGCTTCTAACTCTGGTCCCCGGATTCACGTATATAGCTCCAAGGCTCATAAACAATAAGTAAATAATAAATATGCCATAACAAAATGGCATTTGTACAAGTAAAGGGTAAAATAGTTATATTAAAAACAAATATAGCTGAAGATAACTGGTAATTATCAATTACATGATTTTCAGTTGTGTGATATAGGTAATGTGATTTTAATCAAGTTTAAATATTCAGTATAACATCCACGATACAAAAAATGTTAGTGATTATTGGTAATACACTGATTGGATTGCAAATGTAAGAACACTTGATATTTGGTTTCATGTTCATATCAACTGAAGTTGCACTTAAATGGACACACTGAAATATAGTCATAATAACCTGACTGTCATTCATACTCAATCTTCAGTCGGCCATATTAAATTGAAAGCAAGGTAAAATTATCATTTTTGGAGCTGGCGGAGAGAAATGAAAGCAATGAAATAACAGTTCATTACAAATTAATACCAGTCTGCTCTGATGAATAATTTAAAATTTGTGATTAAACGTACCCTAATGCTTTAAGCCACATTAAAAAAAATTATAGTGAGGCTAGAATGCATAATAGTCTGGCACCATCCCATTCAACAGTTATAATCTATAAAATACAGGGAACACCACAAAAATGGCTCGGTGGTCGAATGGTAATACGTCTGCACTAGAAAGCAGGAGGTCGTGGGTTCGAGTCCCACCCGAGTGATTTGTCCAACTTTCACTCGGGAGGTAACACACTGAGTATACATGTACAGTGTTTACACGTCGGTGAAGAGCAAAACCTAGTTTGATTTACATCGACCCGATACAATTAAAATACCATCTTATGAAAAATGGCTTCCTCATGAATAAAGTCCAAAATTACATAGTCCCTCTTCAATATTGACGGTTTTTAAAAATTCCGTAATGGACAAAATGCAGTTAGTGACTGGCACTCAAATGTATTTTTCTCCCTTCATGAAAATTCTGTAAAAGGCAAGGTACAATAGGCAATGATTTGGAAGTAAGGTACTAAAACCTGGACTGTCTGCCGTACTCCATCTCAAGTTCTCTCAGATTCTCCTCCAGCATCTTGACTTCGTCTGTTTTCTGCATCTCCTTGGCCTGTCTGATGTAATTCCTGATGATATTCATCTGTTGCATCATGGGATTGTCCGAGGATGCCATCAGCTCCGCCTGGCTCACCGCCGAGGGTTTCCAGCCGCCCTCCAGCGTCTTGGCTCCGCCCGTTCTACTTTTGGTCGGGGAAGTATCCTGCTTGTTCTTGTTGAGATTCAGGGGCCAGCTCGGGATGCGGACGTGGCCCTTTTTGGCGCTCTCCAGGGTCTTAAGGTCCCTTTTCTCCTTTTCGAGTCTTTCGAGTCGTTCCTGTCGCTGGGCCTCGAGCTCGGCCTGTTTCTCCTCCTGGATGCGGCGGGTGATGGCGGCCCTCCGTTCCGCTTTCAGTTTCTCAATTTCCTCTTTTGTCGGCAGGGTGACCATCGTGTGCATGTTGGCTTGGAGGAAGAGGGTGCAGTGGGTGCGAATCTTCTGAATCAACCGCTGGTGGGTACGACTGGAGTTGGTTGCAGATAGCCCCAAAATCTTCTTGCTGAAGTTGAACGATTCAAACAAGAAAGAAGAAGCTTAACAAAAACATATGGAGTTGGGTGAAGATAGCCCCAAAATGTTCTTGCTGAAGTTGAACAATTCAAACAAGAAAGAAGAAACTTAACAAAAACATATCAAGAGTTTATGATCCATTTCTTGAATTGATCAGCCCAACCCTCCGTGATCTTTGTGGGGGTCATTATAGAGGATTTTGCAGTATTGAAGAATTCCTTAAAGGATAAGGTACACCAAAAAAGTTACTGCTGGGTTCCTGTACAAGTGGCTTTTCGAAAGTTTCTTGGATGGTTTAAAGATGGTAAGATGGTTTCTTAAACTGTCATGTTAGCAGGCATGCAACTGGGAATCTAGAAAAAACAAGGAAGTTCCAGACCATGACACAAGACTTTGTACAGTGTTTTTTTAATTGTAATGAGAAGTAAACAAAAAAAACAAAAAAAAAGAGGAAATCAGCGGATCCGAGGAAAAGTTCATGCCTGTGTTAGGGTTAATGATTTTCAACTGAATGAACAGTTGATTTATTTTACTGTTGTGAGATACTACAGCACATGCATTACACAGAAACTAACCTGATAGTGTCGATAAGATCAAAGTTTTTCAATATTTTGGTTCGTTCTCTCTCCATTACATCCCGGCTAATGGTGGAGCTTCCATACCTGAACACAAAGAACAAGGAGGATTTAATCACATGTATTACTCAATCAAACATCTATTGCAACTTGTTAAAACTAATACATTTAAGACCTGTTTATGCCGTTTTATGAAAGTGACCATGAATGCAAATCAGGATGTCATGACAAGTATTCATGCTCTGAGTTTGTACAAACAAGTTGAACACATTTTTACACAGGCAAATTTCGTAAGACATGTTTTGGGACGTCAAACGTGCCGCAAATTCGCTTTTGATGATGGATGACCAGGCCTGTAGGGGTGTGCACTTATGGGTAGTCCAGGAACCAGGTACACAATTAGAAAAAAATACGGGTACCCGTTAAAGAAACCAAAGCAAACTTGCCAAAATTCAAATCTCAGAAGTTGCTGTTGAGATTGTTCACAAAGGTCTGCACCATAATACTACCTTATCAGCTCATCAATACAGCAAAATACAAGAACAGTGAGCTTTATAGCTCCACAGTGGAAACTGCAGCTTTCACGATCGTCATAATTGTCAAATATGTTTGGTTTTCCAAATGACCTCAAAACCTTTCTTTTTCATTGTCTGTGAAGTAACTAAGCAATTTGTAAATTGGTTATGGGTACCCAATCCAATAATCTAGAACCGGTTCCTGACATTAACAGTCGGGTACTCGGGTACCCGGTTCCAATGCACATCCCTACTGGCCTGTAGGTAGGACTGACCTTTTAATCTCCAAAGTATCTTCCTCAAAGACATTTTTCTTGTTGCAATTAAAAATGTGAAGACTTTTACCATAAGCCAGTTTGGTATTTCAACTGCGCATGTGTGCACAATGATATGGGTCACAGGTCATTCGGGGGAACGCTCATCGAAGGCGCATAAACGCGCAGGGAGACGGGGGCATGATGCTCACGTGTTACTTATGAGCAGAATGAACGTTTGCGTAAGATTGCGTACCATCACATCAGCGGTTTTATCCCAAATGACCTTTGACCTTGACAACTTCATCGAGATACCCAATTGGCTTATTTACTTATTTCAGGTCATTCCACTTAGAATTTAAAACGGCTTTTAATTTTGTCGTTTCCGAACTCCTCGGAATTTATCGCACTGACAGGATGACTAATACAGTTTATTGGACAGTTGTAGTCAGGTGAAAGTCCATATTTATCCAGCATGGTACTGTATATATTTGACTTCATTATCAGTGAACATATCGACTTCCGTTTATATATTCGCTTCCAACAGGACTAAAGGTCAAATTCTGGAACCTGCATGCTACAAGAACAGCGGTAACAATGACAGGATAGTAATGATGGCTTCTACTATGAAAAACCCTACAAACTGTGGACCAATTTGTATATCACAGAATGGCAAGATGAAATATAAATTATTTATTTGTACTTACAAGAGTGATTCCACTTTGGGATTGTACACTGACAATTGTGCAATGACATGATTTTTTACCTCTGTGAGCCTCTGTAAAAAAAAGAAAAAAAAGAAACACAACTTGGATATTATTGCACAGTTATGATTGAAGAATTTTGATTCAATTTCGATGAGGAGGATACCACTAAAACTTCTATCAAAGGTTAAGGGGGTCAATTGAAAATCAATACAAAAATACATAAAAATTTAAAGTTTATGGGTTGAAGTATTTCATCAATGTATCAATACTGCCAAATAAAACCCCAAAAAAAACACTTTCTCGTCCTTGCCCTCTTCTTTTTGGGCATGCTTGAGTTTTCCTTCCTTTTTTTTCTAAATTCCTACATTTTCAATATATATTTCAAATTTTGTCAATATTGTCTTTTTATTTGTTTCCAACAAAATCATAGCTTTGTAGAAAGGTTGACAACACCTTTGCACACAATTCTGTATCAGCAACAGAGTCGAAATAAAATTGGAAGAATCCATCCGCCATCTTAGAAAATCCGCCATCTTGAAGGAAAAAAAGGGGACCGCCTCCTTTATTTTTTACAAAAGGCTGCGCGAGAAACCTTTTTTTTTTACTCGGCCTTATCATAATGTGCTAACTTGAGACAAAACAAAATACTGTTAGTTATCAGAAATCCATATTCGAGAGAAACTTTTGAAAATGTACCTCTAATGTCACAGTTGAAAACAAATAAGCAATATGACAGAGATGTAAACACTAAAAAAAAAATAATAAAACTCTAAACACATGGACATGGGCAACATGTGGTGAAGTGCCATAATTTAAGTTTATAATTAGGCCCCAAAAACAGGTCTACAGGTAGGGAAATTTGTTTTTTGGGGGGGGGGCAATTTTTCATTGTGTACGATGATATGGAGGTATCCGTGTGTAGTCAAGGGTAAAAGGTAGTAATTGATGACTGTCGAGGTTTTTTCCTCATTTTTCCCAAAACAAAATTAGGGTCGGGGCTGTCAAATAGGGTAGGTAGGGTAAACCGAAGGCAGAACCATTTTTTTTTGTGGCCTTACAGATCTCATCATATTGTGACAAAGTGGTGCTGTTGCAGAAATATAATGTAAGATTCTTACCTGGTACAATAAGACAAGGTTGGATTTAATGACCTTCTCTCGGACTGCTTGTAGTCTCCTTACCAGCAGTTGGTCGCAGTTTTTGCAGAGCCTCAATGTCCCACTCATATCCTCATCATCTCCCCCCTCTGCACCCTTGTCTTTCCTTGCCTGCTCCCTCTGATGATCCCTCAGTAATTCCTCCTCTGATTTCAACAAATTTTCTTTAAACAAAAATAAATAAATAAAAAAGAAATTAATATACAATTTCAAGTAGTGGTGGGATTAAATCCGGATGTTTTTCTAATTCAGTTTGAATTCCACTATTCGGTTACGATTTCGGAAACCGGATATTGGAAACTAACCTTAAAAAATTAAGCCTACCATTTTGTGTGACTCGGGCTATCATTTATCATTTGATAATGATTTGTGTGTAGCGCTAGTGTCTGGCAGCTCCACATTTTTGCTCTCCGTTCTTTTCACATTTCTATATGCTTCTGTTACATTTATTCATCATTTTTGGCACCATGTGAATGTTGGAGACTCGGTGATCATCATGGTACTGCCTGATTCTCTTGTGATCATTGTGATTTGGAGCATATTTTGCATTTGCAATTTTTCATCATGCCATTCCCTGAGGTATGGAACTGTAACGTTAACGCCATGCCACCAACCGTCTTTTGTCATTGACTATCCGCTTGACTCGTCCTGGACAAGACGTGACATTCATCTCACACAGGCTCATCAAGATGGACAATCGAGTTCAGCTGCTCTACAAAACAAACTGAGTGAATCTTCAGCTGGTGTTGCGGGGACTATCCTATTGTCACCAAGGTACTGTTATATAACAATGGCCTCTTCTGGCCCGACATCGACGACCAACATGTTACGTTCCTATGATCGGACTTTTCTCCTCGGTCTTAACCGTGACTTGTCTTCCCAAAGTTGCAAACTATCCAGGGAGGTGTGCCATGAAATCTCAAATCTTAAACTTCTCAGGAAACCCTGCATAACACACAACACTAAATCTACATCACCTCGTCGTCGTACTCGACGTGCTTACAAGGGTGGTATTCGTAGGAAAAGCAAACATGGCCTGCCAATACGTGTGATTGTTGGCCGTCCTAACCCCACTGAAAGTTATCACCCTGATTTTGTAGATGAACCCCCAAGATCCCACCCTATTCATCAGAACTTAGTCAAAGTTATCATCCCCAACCTTGACGATCATGTTAGTTTTTGCATGCTTAACGCACGGTCTCTTCGCAACAAATCCACAGATTTTCAGGACTTTGTCATAGAAAACAACTTTGACATCGTGGGTATTTGCGAAACCTGGTTAACTGAATCCGATGAAGCAACCATAGCCGACTTAACTCCTTGTGGTTATGAATTCAAACACAAACCCAGAGCATGCAAGCGAGGAGGAGGAGTTGGCGTACTTTTTCGGAAGGAACTGGACATTTCAGTCAACACGTCTTTTGATTACCTGAGTTTTGAGGTTTTGTCAGCCACCGCGACCTCCAATAGTACCAGCCTTGACTTTTACATCATTTACCGACCACCGTCCGGTCAAATGGCATTTTCTTCGTTTCTGAATGAGTTCACGCTTTTGCTTGATGACCATATCTTCAGACCTGCACCGCTTGTGATTTGTGGTGACCTTAACATTCACCTTGACAATCTGGAAGCGTCCAATACAAAGACGTTCAACGACTTACTGAAAGCACACAGTCTTTCCCAGTATATTCAATCGCCAACCCATGAACGCGGTCACATCTTAGACGTCTTCATCTCCCGCACCTCTGAAAAACACATTTTTTCAGACCTCCAACTTTTGCCAGGCATCTCTGACCATTCTGCCATTTCCTGTCGCCTGCATGTTCGCAAGCCATGCCCAACTCGCACACAAATTACAGTGAGGAACATCAGTGCAATTGACAGGAAGGACTTTGCTGACGATCTCCGTCAGCATGACTTTTCGTCGGATGTTTCTACTGTCTACGAAGCCGTTGACCAATACAATGCCACACTTGGTCAGCTCTTGGATACATATGCGCCAGCCAGAACTACATCTATCAAGGTCCGTACTCCTTGGTATAACAATGAAATAGGTCAGGAGAGGAGCAAGCGCAAACGACTCGAGCGCAAGTGGCGCTCTTCCAGGCTAGAGATTGATCGTCAATTGTACCGGCAGCAGCGACAACATGTCATCTCCCTTGTACGCAAGTCAAAACGTGCTCACTACAACCAGATCATCCATGACTGTGGCAATGACTCCAAGCGACTCTTCAGTGTCGCCAATAAACTCCTGAATCGAAAGCAGACAACCGCTCTTCCCTCCCATGGCTGTGATAAAACACTGGCACAGTTTTTCAGTCAATTCTTCATTAGCAAGATCGACACCATATGCGCTGGTTTCACCCCGGATTCATCTACTCCACTACCAGTTCAGACATCTGCAGTCATCAGCTGGTATGTATTGGTAACGCCAGATCCGATATAGTTGAACTGAAACATGGAGTTCCCCAGGGATCTGTCGGCGGGCCATTGTTGTTTACCATCTATCTCAGTGGTCTGAAACATGTCTTGGAATCTCATAATATCAGTTACCACTGCTATGCTGATGACGTTCAACTCTTTGTGTCATTTGCACCAAATCAAGATGACGCCTTGCTGACTCTCCAGAAACTTGAATCATGCATCAATGATGTCAGTGTATGGATGAGTTCTAATTCTCTCAAACTCAACACTGATAAATCTGAACTTATTATGTTTGGGTCAAAGTCACAACTTGCTAAGATCAATGTCCATGGTATCAACATCCAAAATTCACCTGTTAAGTTGTCGGCGACCTGTCGAAATCTGGGAGTCACCTTTGACTCACTTATGTCAATGTCTCATCATGTTTCTAACACATGTAAATCTGTCAGATTTCAACTTCGTAACTTGGGTTTAATTCGGAAGTATCTAACCCGCTCAGCAACAGAGAAAGTTGTTCACGCCCTCATTTCATCTCGGTTGGATTTTTGTAATTCCCTGTTGTATCAGCTACCCCGTAACCAACTTGCTCGCCTACAAAGACTCCAAAATTCTGCCGCTCGAATTGTGACCCTGACACCCTCTAGAACCCATATCACCCCGATTTTGCAGTCTCTGCATTGGCTCCCTGTTGCTGACCGGATTAAGTACAAACTGTTACTGCTTGTTTTTCATTGCCTTCATGATTCAGCTCCTGAATACAACATAGACCTATTAACTCCATATAATCCATCCAGGCGATTGAGATCTTCTGATGCTTCTTTGCTGGTTGTCCCTCACACTCACAAATCTTGGGGTGATCGATCATTTTCTCACGCAGGTCCTCATCTTTGGAACAAACTACCCCTCGCCATTCGCAACATCTCATCGCTTTCTGAATTTAAAGTTGCCCTAAAGACCTATTTGTTTCAGACCACTCAGAATATTCTTGTTTAGTTAAATTTAATTGTTTTGTTATGTCTGATTTGATATAATTTTTGTTTGCGCCATGAGCGTCATTTATGGCGGATAATGGCGCGGTATAAATTTCCGTTATTATTATTATTATTATAAAACAACTGGAATATCCCCCAATTTGCTCCATGGTCTCTGATTGTAACTGCATTCACTTGCTAGTGGTCTTTTTGATGTAGTTACCATCCATTTTGTTTTCAACATTACAGCTGTGCTCCCATTTTTGATGAAACTCTTCGCAACTTACGATGCATCGCAGCGCTGCGATGCGTCCTATCCCTATGATGCGTCGCAGCTGCGACGCGTCCTGCGATCCATTTCACAAAACACATCGTAAGTGCGACACGTCGTAGGTGTATTTATAGCACAATTCGTCGCCTGTTTTATGTATTTAGTCAGCGTACAGTAAATAGTCGTCTGGTATTTAAAAAAGAGTCGTCGGATCTCCTTTCCAAATTGTTTAAAACGTAAAAACAAAATGGCGGACATATGATGCAATTTTAAAGGAAAACAAACTCTCAGTGAACTGCATACATGTAGCTACTTTGAAATTTCAACTGCAATATTCCAGGCTAATTCATAATTATTCAATGCATTTTCTATTTACAACTTTACACACATTGTCTCGGTATTACAATATTGAAGCCAACTTTTTCCCTCAACACAAATCAGGTATTTCTACCACTGACACCAACTGAACGGTGTTCTGAATGGTCCTATGTATTGTTTAAGTGAAGCAGAGAGTAGTTTATTGAGGGGTACGGGCACTTCAAGCATTATGTTACATGTATGTCCATAACAGAGCTCATTTTATGAGCTCAGTGAATAAATCCTGAAGATGTATTTTTCAAATCTTATTCATCCATCATCTAGTAATGGTCACTGAGATTACAGACCAGGAGTTTTGGATCATTTCTCAGTGAATAAATCCTGAAAATGTATTTTTCAAATCTTATAAATCCATCATCTAGTAATGGTCAGGGAGATTACAGACTAGGAGTTTTGGATCATTTCTCTGAATCATTAATTACATATCATGGTTAATTGGCTCTGTCACGGACTGTCAAAAACTCAAATAGTTTTCCATTTAGCAAAACTGACTTACCACTACAAGCATGTGGTAGGAAGTCTGAACATTTCAAGCAGGCGATGTTGCCACACAGGCGACAGTGGTGACGTCTCAGGGACAGACCGAAACGCTCCATGCAATAGGGACAAAACTTCATGGAGGAATCTTCCTTCCAAGGCACCACTGTCTTCTCAAAGGCTGAGGACGAAGAAATCAAATAGATCAAAAAGAATTACATCGTCAGCTTTGCATAACAAATGACTTTCTGCAGGTCAAATTTAATTCAAGTGCAAACGAAGGGTAGAATAACCACAATGGAAGGTTATCACTTGCAGTAACTTTTACGGAATTAAGTCCAACGCGGCTTAAGGGCATCTAAATGTTTTTGAAAGTTTATCACAGCATACTAAGTCTTTCTGGATAAAATTGCTATTCCTTTTTGTATTAAACTTCGATGATTTTTTAAAAGCAGAATACAAACTAATTATACTTTGACTGTGGATGGACATGTATAAGCAAATGTTTTTGTCAATGGGAATATTTAAATTTTAATTATAATATAAAGTCCAGTCACAAGTCCAGTAATTTTTAAAATAAAGTACATGTACATACACATTTTCTTTACAACATTTAAGTGCATCTAATGATTAAAATTTGGTGATGCGGGCTTTTGACTAACATGCAATATGTTGGACCATGTGCCTCCCGTCAGTGTTTTGGGGGATGGGATTGGGTGGGGTTTCAAGGGAGGCTATGGGCTTCATGCACAGGGATTTGCATAAATGTCAGGAATGTGTACGGCAAAAACTCTTGAAGATAGCCATAAAACTCTTGAAGATAGCCATAAAACTGTTGCCACAAATGGTATCACACTTTTGAACAATCAAAGGACTATGGGGGAAAAAAGTCGTTTTGAAGCAGCCTTGGTGGAATTATTGTCAATTACAAAATAATTGGAAATCAAGAATTTGAATTTCCTTCCATTTTCACGCTCTAGTTGCAATATGATTTATAATCTGAGACATGTAATTGTGCTTTATAATTTGTGAACCAATAAGCTACTGACACACACTGTATTGTCCCTATCCTGTTCTGTACTGTAACTGAGGAACACGATATACAAAAAGTGGGTTCAATCAAATCGTCCTGTGCCAAAGAAAAGGACATTAGTAGCCCAGGCACGCAAACTTCACTTTTGGAAATATGCAGTTTAAAGGTTTCTAAATTAAAAATCCTATAAGCCTGAAATTTTGAAATATGTGAAATAATTTGAATAATATTGTGCATTTTATTTCAAAATACGACTTAATTTTAAATTATTTACATTTTTACGCTAACGACCTTTCACCGGGAACTCCTTCTGCCTTAAATGTGCGCTTAAGCGGTATGTCAAATCATAACGACCTTCTGCTAGGAATGAACTTTGCTTTACCAACCCATTTCAGTGCAACGTTAGCGTACTGGGAACATGGTTTGCTACGATAGTATTACACACCAATGTTATTATGCTGGGAAAAATAATAATACAAAAACCTCCTTTCGTGTTCTGTATACTGTTAATTAGGTCAGAATGACGTAGCCCCATGAGGCAAAATGTATACCAAATGAATGATATTTCAATACCCCAAAAAACATGAATTTGACCTTTTGACCCATTTTTCATGTGACCTTCTTCCCCGCACCCAACTTAATGTTGATTTCATTTGAAAAGGCAATGGAGTGAAATGTGTATGGGGAGGGCAACAAAACCAAAACGAAAGAATTACTGGAATAATTACAAGCCCTTCATTATGTAAGTTTTTGTTACGAGTAAATTCAAGTTTTTACAAATTATTCAAATCAGACATATTGAAGGGGGGTTTCTGGTTAAAAAAAAATCAGCTGATGAAAGAAATGTGTTTGAAGAGAATATCTGGAGAGAAGTGCAGATATGGGAAGTGCTTGCAATCATATTCCAATACGTCTTTCAATAGGATACACATTTTTGTCCATACCTCTTTGAGCCCGTTTACCTTTACGCTTGGACGGTTCGGCGCACTCGTGGTTGAACTTGACCAGTTTCTCCAAGCGTATTAGCAGCTTGTTTGTTTCTACGGTGTTGCGGTCGACGTGTGAGCTACGCTGCCCTCTGAAGTACTCGTAATAACCACGCGTGGCTCCTGCGGCAATATTGACGGGAAACCGAATCAGAGTTGTGTCACAAGTTTTGATGATGGACTTATTATGAATTTGTGACCAGACTTGTCTACAAAATTGTCCAGGAGTGGGGAAATGATAGTCCGAAAATTTGGGACTCTCAATACTGTGTATGAGAGTCCCAAAACTTAAGGTATCCATATTGTGCAAAAGTTTGTGCTGCATAATAAAACCAGTGTGAATCAAATTTGCAAGCTTCTTACTCACTACACTTTCTTCAATAATCCCCGAAACTTCTGCCCTGCAAAGTTGCTGTTGTGAGCATTGCATCACCAAAAATTCAGCGTTTAATTCTAATTTTGCAGGGAGTTATCGAAATCCAAACGCGAAACATCACGTTGATGTGTACTGCAATGCATTGTGCAAAAAGACTCCTCAGCTAAAACATTCTCATCGTGTAGATAAAACAGCGCCCTCTTGTTGATCTGAGTGAATGCAGAATGTTTCGTTTGTTAACAGAGGGCGCTATGTTCATTTGGCCATCGATTAAAAAACAAGTAAGCTGCAAGGCTCTTCCTACACCTACCCAGAATACCTTGGGAATCACACCACCATTTCTAAAGCATGGAGAATGACGTGGATGGTTTTTGAACTGTCAAAAACTTGCCTTAAAATTGGATTTAAGGTCTCAAATTTTGCAGGTCACATGCTTGCAACTTAAGCATTTTGATGTATGTGTTGTGTGGGCATTAATTAGCCGAATGGTGAGTAAAAAAACGTCAGTAGTAATTTTGCATGTTTTTATGCACTCACGGTCCCAGTCTGGGGAAATGATAAATTATAATGTAAGAATCATAAGGTCTGATAAAGGGCAGACCAAGCCTGATTGAATTACAATTGAGTTCATTTAGTGTTCATACACTGTACATCCACTCACCCAGTTCCTGTGGGGGCCACTGCGTATCGTCGATGCCGCAGACGCGTGATGTCGGCGTCGTCAGCCCAGGACTTCTCTCACCTTCATCCTCGTCAGCCTCTGCAACCTCACGCTCCACGGGTTGCTCCTCTGTCTTGCCCAGAAACTTCTTGGCTTTGCCTTGGAGAGAATAAGAGTACAAAAAAATGAGATTTGAAAAAGATTGCTATTGTTGGAAACATACCTGGGCCCAATTTCATGGCTCTGCTAACCACAAAATTCCGCGCTTACGATCACAATTTTGTGCCAACCGCGCTAGAATAAAAATTCTGTGATAACCTGTAAGCACAGAATCTTAAGTTACGGGATGTACGCGTGCGCAGAAGCCAAAATTCCTCGCTAACCCATGAAATACGCTTACAGTATTAAGCAGGGAATTTTCTGCTAAAGTAAGCAGGAATTTTGCACTAACGGTAAGCAGAGACAATAAATTGGGCCTTGCACTTGCTCAGTTGAATGAATGTCAGGAAAGGTCAGACTGTCCGAATGAAATAGCATTGTTGATAGTGATACCAGACAACTAGCTTTACTTTGTACTGTACGTCCCTTCCCTGAATAAGCCATTTGCAAGTTAGTATTTTTCTTAAATACTCATGCACACGGGCGTTGCCAGACCACATTGAATTGGGGTGTTATTTATTTCTTATTTTAACTGGGCAGCCTATTCAACGGAATCCACTGGTCTCCCATGGGGCCCAACAGAGAGAAGACAGTGTGAAGAAATTACAGTTTTTAGATGTGGGAGGAAAACCCCAGAATTAAATATTCTGAGGAAAACCCACGGAATCAGGCAGGAACTGAAAACCCAATCCACATACTGGCCCAGGCAGGAATCGAACCCAGGTCAAAGCAATAGACAATAAGTGAATTAGCTAAGGCAGTGTATCAAGTGAACTTAGAAAACTCAGTGTGGTCATGCCAAATAATTTCTGTGAATGTCAAACTTTATAGTTGCATCAAATCCCACAAAAAAATTCTCTCTATTCCTCTAACATCCCCGATCCCACAAAGTCCTCCACGACATCCTGGTGGATTCTAGAGGATTTGGGAGGGTTAGGGTTATAATAAAAATGCAATTTACCTAAGAAACCCTTGAGATGGTGAAGCACGGCTTTATCCTCGTGGGTGTGATTCTCCTCAAAGTGGGTCTGCAGCTGGAAGACCGAGTTGAGATCCTGCATGCAGATTGGGCACAGGAAGCCCTCACGGACAGCGGAATCGTCCCCGCTGACTGTTGCTGACATTGCGGCCAGACGAGTCCTGCCTAGCTACTGGCTTAGTGTATGACGGGCGGAGTTAGCAGGTGAGGCTAAAAACAAGAAAGGGAGCTAGACGGTCAAGTTTGAAATGTTCAAGGCAATCTTTGCCTGGAAGACTTGCAGCTGATTGTACGAAACAGTGCGTAACTTACACCATATGTAGGACTTACGCAAAACTCGCCAGGCCATGTCCGAATGTTAAACAGTAGATAAGTTGGGTCCGAGTTACTCGGACTACAATAACCCAATGATAAAATAAAGGGCTGAGGTAACTCCAGCTAAATAATAACAGGTTTAATTTGAATCACATTATCGCAGTAATACGAGTACAGTCGTTTTCCTAGTTCCGGATTTTTCCTAGTTCCGGATCGCTTCAAATAAAAACCTACCTCTTTTGGACTAGTCTCCAATAAAAAAAATTCTGACGAAGTGCATTGTGAAAAGGAAAATGTAAGCTTCCTGATACACACAGGTCTTTTCGATAAAACTTTGAGAAAAGGAATTTTGGCCAGATTTCCGACTCGCACTTTGACATGTTTGGACCGTTTGTAGAAAATCATGGGAGCTGCGAATCGACGATAAATTTTCTCCTCGGTATTTCTCTCGTACCGTGTGGTTTCGAATATTTTTTTCATTCACTACAGTCGTATAAACTCTTCCATCGAATGTGTGTTCAATCAAAATAATTTGTAGCGTCTCTAATATTTGAAAATTCGCCAACGAATGACGGTATGCTTTTGCCTAGTTCCGGATCGCGCGTGCACTTACGACCCAACTACACGCGCGTTAATCGATTTTGTGTGACGTATTCTGTGCCGTGTGCAAGGTTTTCAGTCCGTGCGTGAGTTCGTGCCGTTGCTCTGCAGACAAAAGTTTCACAATTATTTACGTTAATTCTCTTTTGAAAATTCGCTGGAATATCCCTTGAATGAACTTTTTTGGAAAATTTAATAATACTTCATCAGAAAATGTGCTTGATTTGGGGTGGTTCTGGCTGAAAAATTGATTTTCTCGCGTGATTTTTTTTTTTCGCACGAATCAGTTTTTGATCGATTCGGAACTGATTGAACCGATCCGGAACTAGGAAAAGCGGCATCGGTACTTTTGACGTCGTAAGTCACAGTAAAAAGAGCTTAAATTTGGGAAATTATTTTGTAGTCTCTCCATCACTCAAGGTAAACTTTTAAACCAGTGTCACTTGAATTCGTGGAGTAGTTGAGCCGAAAGCAGCCTGAATGATGTTTGCTATCCGGAACTAGGAAAACGACTGTACATAACCATAGATCATTTTCTTTCCTTGTTATATGAATTATTTCCCCTTTAACCGCTATAGGGCCTACATTTCATTTAACATTATAAATGTTGTGCCCATTCTTGAAAATCACGCATTCTCGAGAATGGGCGTGCACATTCTTGAGAATGTGCAACTGGATCCTTGCTCAATCTTGGCAAAAAATAACTCTTCCAGATTGAGCGCACATTCTCGAGAATGCGCGACAAGATAACGGTCTTGTCGATGCCGAGCACCGGCTGCGCTTGGCAAGTCTAGCTGAATCCTCGTTCACTGATTCTCAATAATTTTGCAACGCAAGGCGCTGAAAAGTAGAGTGGATATGATAAGTAAAGGCGTATTAATATGGGGGGGGGGGGACCGGGAAAATAATAAGAGACATAATAATAAGAGACATAATAATACTAGTGCAAAGAATTCTGATTTTTGGGATAATAAAAGCGGGGGGGGGGGACATAAGAATGAAGAATGTGAAGAATGAGAATGAATACTGCGACATCCCATAGTGCTAATGCTATTTCCCATTTAAATTGCCACCAATTTATTGTTCACATCCCACCATAATGTCGCAGAGCTGGATTCTATCTAGTCAAAAGAGCAATTTTGGCAGCTTCTGGACATCGTTTTTTTTCGTGGCACGCATATGATACATGCAGGGACTTGTAACTTGTCTAGCCTAAACAAAGCACTTCCCAGACTAGTTCCCAGTCCTCCGTTATTACAAAACTTCCCATAGTGGGCAGAAAAAGCAATAATAACAGGTTTAATTTGATTCAAATTATCGTAGTTATACGAGTACAGAAGCATAGCACATTTTCTTTCCTCTTTATATGAATTGATTCCCTTTTAACCGCTATACAATTCATTTAACATAATTATGTCGTGCAATGTTTGTTAAGATTGGGCAAAATTCATAAATTGTGCACGTGATATTCCCACCCAATCTTAAGAATGAGCGCTCATTCTTAAGAACGCGTGCTCGTTCTTAAGAATGGGCGCTCATTCTTAAGAATGCGCGTCCATTCTCGAGAATGTGCATGCCCATTCTCGAGAATGCGTGATTTTCAAGAATGGGCACAACATAAACATAATTATGCCGTACAAGATTGCGCAAAATTCATAACTTGCGCACGTTATATTCCCACGCAATCTTAAGAATGAGCACTCATTCTTCAGATTGCGTGCTCATTTTTAAGAATGCGCGCTCGTTCTTAAGAATGCGCGCTCATTCTTTTGCATGAATTGCAAGAAAGCGCACAACACCTCCATAAGCAGATACACACTAGGCCTACACAGTCAGTGTGAATCCACCCACCCCTCCCATCTCTCTTTTTTTACTTGGCAATCTTATTCAGACCTCGGCCCGAATCTTGATAAAATTTACTCACTAAGTAAGCCAAAACATGATTAACATGAATTACTATGAATGAGCTTACTTTAGTTTAATGCACTTGTTGTCAGTGATTTAGCGCCCCATTCTACCGCTCGGTTGTCGTCGATCGATGTCCGTCATCGCATCCATATATCACGGCGCGGCCGTATCGCATCAACAGCGCCACCAAGAGAACACAAATTGAATCAATTATCAGAAATGGCGGAGCTGAGATCAAGATTTGAATGTCGAATCGAGAAATATTTGAAAACCTCTCGCATTGCTTTTTTGTGGTAAGTTGTTTCATGATGACGGCTTTAAAAAAACAACATTTGACCAACATATCCACCCGCAACTTGCATGACTTGACGTCCATCAACCTTTGCACGGTGTTGCGCCCTAGCCTAGGAACGCTAGCCCATCATTCATTGCAAAAAATTGCATTGATTAAGAGAAGACGCGCGCGCCAGGTCATCAGGTCATGCCATGCCAAACCCCACAAACTCAGTCCGGTGTCACATGAAAATTCGACTCCTATGAAAATCGGACCCCTATTTCCCTATTGGGTCATTCTATAAATTTGGGGTCCACTTTTTTTCCCGTCCCTGTTAGTGTTACATATGTCCTGTGATTGTATAATTCTGATGCGCTCCTTAATGCAGTCATCCTCCAAGAGTGATTATGAATAGCAAACTACCTACCCAACAAATAAACAATCATTTGAAGTCACTTTTAATGATGCTTGAATGGCAAATTGCAAAGTACCAAGGTAACAGGGACGGGGAAAATGTCACACTTTGGACCCCAAATTTATAGAATGACCCTTGGTTGATCCCTCGCACGTGACAGGTCACTCTGCCGAAATGATCCTAAAAATAGCACAGTATCGCACTCACGCCTGCGCAGTACTACCAATGAGTCCACATTTCATGGAGTCGGATATTCACGCTACACCGGTGCCAAATGAAGTGTCCGCTAAGCCGCTATAGCGTGCATCCAAGATGCCGGTCACCGTACGAATGAAATAAGCCTCGTTTTGGGGGAAAAAATGTTGCAACCTGACGCCACTTTTTTCTTCATACATGCCTATCATCTCAATCATTCATTGCAAAATGATGATAGGCCCCTAAGACATGAATTGAATCTGGCACTGTCTGAGAAATATTTCCAATTTGGAAAAAATGTAGCAACCTGACGCTACTTTCGAAACAGAAAAATACCATTTTTTTTTGCTTATCTTGTTCCTGAGAGAGTCCTATACTTTCATGTGAGAACTTTAAGGAATATGTTGATAAAGTCTTAAAGAGAGATTTGTAAAATTGTAGCCATGTAGGTAAATTTGTGGCCAACTTAGTGAATTTGTACATGTCACACATCGGTTGAGGGCTTGAGCATGGAGTGACATGCAAACAAATAGGTTGAACCACTGCCAGGGACATTGGTGGCGCTATTTTCATGCCCAAAATGACCTAATTTTTTGTGACCGCCTTTTTCTCCAAGCTCCAAACATCAATAAAAGAGAATAACAGGGTGTAGTTGACCTTAAAAATTTTGGTTTCATATAAAATCACATTGCCAAAAAAAGTTATGGATTCCCAAAAACAGCGATGCCGTTATTTGTGTGTAAATTTCCCATACATTTGTACACATAAATCAATTTTTTGTGACCGCCTTTTTTGAAAAGGTTTGACATGTAATATCACATACAGGGGTACTTTCGCCGAGCTCCAAACATCAATAAAAGAGAATTGCAGGGTGTAGTTGACCTTAGAAAGTTGGTTTGTGTAAAAATTACATGAGCGAAAAAAGTTGTGGATTCCCCAAAACAGCGATGCCGTTATTTGTGTGTAAATTTCCCATACGTTTGAACACATAATCAACTGACGTGGTCACATTTATTTCAGCCAAATTGAGCATCGTTTTAAGGCAAAAAAAAACAATTTAAAATTGCAATAATTTTAGAACTGCTTGCCCTATGAAGCTAGGAGACCCTTGTTTAAATTCATTGTGAAAGCTCTTTGCGATAAAGTAAATTCTACACTATCGAATCAACTTTGAAATTTGATGATTCTGCCTATCACTAACTTGGCCACACATTCGCCTACAAATCTCTCTAAAAACTTTGTCAACATATTCCTTACAGTGCTCACATGAAAGAATAAGCTGAAAAAAAGTCTTTTTTTCTGTTTCGAAAGTAGCGTCAGGATGCAACAGTCTTTCCTCTAATTTTGTTAGGAAATACTTAGAAAATTGTCTTTACTCTCAATAGACTTTGTACACAATCGCGGAAGTGGGTTAGTCCGAGTAACTTGGACCCAACTTATCGCCTTTTTTAACATTTGGACATGGTCTGGCGATAGTGGGGTCCAAGCTAATACCGCGACCTGGACAACATCATCCTGTCACTGTCCCAAAAACCAACATTTTCCAACAAAAAACATCAGATTTCACCTTCAAAACGGCCTCCAAATTACTAGATATGCCACCTGAGGTACAAGTAGACATCGATAATTAAGATGGTTGTGCTGAAGTTTACTTACGATCCGGAAAAAAGTGAAATTTTCCGTTCATTTCGGAGAGCTCCCCTCGCGATCTTGAACACGTTAAATTTCCGATCGTATTTAATGTTTGAACGACGCGATTTCTTCTACATGCCCAGCGTACATTCGATGGTCCCCGTATCCCGAGTGCGATTCCGTTACCGAGCGCGCGCGATGCATCGATTATGATAATGATCACGTTTGTAAACACATGTGCATTTCGAACTGTAAAAGGGAATCGAGAACCAGCTTGAACTGGTACCCGCCATAAAAGCTGCGCTAGTTCCCGAATCCCTATTATCGTTTGAAATGCACATGTGTTTACAAACGTGATCCAGTCTACTCATTATCATAATCGATGCATCGCGCGCGCTCGGTAACGGAATCGCACTCGGGATACGGGGACCATCGAATGTACGCTGGGCATGTAGAAGAAATCGCGTCGTTCAAACATTAAACACGATCGGAAATTTAACGTGTTCAAGATCGCGAGGGGAGCTCTCCGAAATGAACGGAAAATTTCACTTTTTTTCCGGATCGTAAGTAAACTTCAGCACAACCATCTTAATTATCGATGTCTACTTGTACCTCAGGTGGCATATCTAGTAATTTGGAGGCCGTTTTGAAGGTGAAATCTGATGTTTTTTGTTGGAAAATGTTGGTTTTTGGGACAGTGACAGGATGATGTTGTCCAGGTCGCGGTATTAGCTTGGACCCCACTATCGCCAGACCATGTCCAAATGTTAAAAAAGGCGATAAGTTGGGTCCAAGTTACTCGGACTAGAAGTGGGTCAGGTTGCAACATTTTTTCGCTAGTTTTTCATCTAATTTTCCTTTTTGAACAAATATTACAACCTGACGCGACTTCCGCGATTGTACCAAATCTATGGAGAGTCAAGAACATTTTGTAAGTATTTCCTATGAAAATTGCAAATATTTCTCAGTCCCAGATTCATGTCTTATCAGTTTTGCAATGAATGACCTTCATTCAGATGATATGTGTTAAAAAAAATTGTGTCAGGTTGCAACATTTTTGTTTCCTTCCATTCATAATTGTGTTTCAACTGTAACTTAAGTGCTCTGAATCTTTCTTTCTTATTCCGTGCTTAGAATTTGCTGGGTTGATCACGGTTTTTTTTCTCCATGCTTTGAAAAAGTTTGATTAATCTAAAACTTCTGATGTGGTTGTTGTGTTTGTGAAGATTTGTACATATATGGAGAGTGGAAAATCTTCACAAAATTCAAATCTAACTTGTCACTCTTTTTTTTTACACAGGATCCTCCACCCTGATTGTATTTTTTAACTTGAATACAAAATGTAGACAAATTAGTACTAGAAGTTTAAAACTAAAAAAGAAATGGATAAATAAAAAAAAGGTTCACATTTTCTTGAAATTTGCTTATAACATGGCCGTTTGTGGCGCATTTCAGGATTTCTATGAAATTACACACATCGTTCAATTAATTACTAATTACTTGACCTGTGTTTTTTGTCTCCACAGATGAAAATCAGCCGATAAGATGAATGGTTGTCTCATTCCGGACACACCAATCAGGGTGGATCTGTGGAGAAGGGCAAACAATCCGTCCTCCAACATTTACTTCCTGTCTCACATGCACTCCGATCACACTCAGGGCCTGTCTGCCTCGTGGCGATGGCCGATCTACTGCTCCTCTGTCTCTGGCAAGCTGCTCATTGACAAGTTTCAGATCAAAGAGAGCCTGGTCAGGCCTCTGGAGCTCAACCAGAGCCACATCATCAAGTTGGATCATTTAGGAAGAGAGTCAATGACAGTGACACTGTTTGATGCCAGTCACTGCCCCGGCTCAGTCATGTTCCTCTTTGAAGGTTACTTTGGCCGCATCCTTTACACCGGTGACTTCCGTTATGACTCGACGACCTTCCCCGAGTGGTGCCTAGGGCCTGGGAGGCCTTTGGATAAACTCTACTTGGACAACACCTTCAACAATCCGCGATGTCGGTTTCCAAGCCGCGCAGAATGCAAGCAGAAGATCCTGGAGATCCTTGCTAGGCACCCAGAGCATGAAGTCGTCCTTGGAGTTTACACACTAGGAAAGGAAGATCTTCTTCTGGATATTGCTCTTGCTCTGAAAACACGTGTGGTAGTCAGTCCAGCGCGTATGAGGATGCTTCAAGTGTTGGAAGTCCTTGATGTCTTCACAACTGACAAGGATGGCGGGTGTGTGAGGCTCGTCCCGCAGAGAGCCATCAACAAGAAAAACATGGCCAAGTGGAACGAGGATGCCCCAACCATCGCTGTCATCCCAACTGGATTGTTCTCAACATTAGATGGCCAACCGTTCGTCAATCAGGAGGATGTGTTCATCATCCCCTACTCTGATCACTCCTCATACCCGGAGCTGCGGCAGTTTGTCTCAAGGGTCCATCCTCGGGTCATCATCCCCATCGTCAAGGATTCCTGTTTCATGAATAATGATCGCTCTGTTACAGATATGCACAACTTTGATGATCTGTTGGACAGGTCACCAAGTGCACCGTTCACCATCCCAAGCAGCGTACTGCAGTTTATGTCCGCTGATCTCTCAGGATCAGTTCATCTTGGTGAGTCTCATCAAAATTTCAAACTGCTTGCTGAAATGCGAAAGAATCAGAGATTGGTCAGGGCCAATCGTACAGCTACGGGTGTTGTGTTCAGGGACGAGGATGACGAAGGAGGAACAACAGCAGTGCAATCTCTGGAGCTGTCAACAACAGTTGATTCCCAAGAACTACCACTGGCTGAGAGTGAATACAGTCAGCCTGATGAACAACAGACCCTACACCCACAACTCACCAGGACTGTGAATTGTCAGATCAAGGAAACAAAGGCATCAATAAGAGAGGTAACAAGTGAACTGAAACCTTTGCAAACTGAACCACTCCATCAATCATCCTCAGAGAACAGATGGACTGAAGTGCCAGCAGGAGCAGCAGTAAGGAAAAGAGATTTCTTGTCTAAGAAGCGCAAGAGAAAATCAGATCAAAGTGAGTCATCTGGAGATGCGGAGTGTCCAAGTGATGGCTCGGTCTTGATTAGAAGCATGTCAAGCAAGAAACCAAGAGTTTTACCTGAGTCCTGTGTGACTTACCCAAAATCAGTTATCACTGCACCATCAAGCTGGGAAAGTAGAAGACTGTCCTGTGCTAAACCTTCTTCAAAAAAGATTCAGGACTACTTTAAGACGTTGAGTGTTGTAACTTCTGAGAATGAGCCCTGCAGTGGTCCTAAACAACTGGAACATAAACTAAATGCATGTAGAATAAGTCTAGCTTCTCTCCAAGCTGTTACTCCTCTTGTTGACAAACCTTCAGAGAGGATTGTCACCAGCAGTTCTGCCTACCAGCCACAAGAAGAAGTTGTAAAACTTGTCAACGGTTTAATTTCATCTACCCTCCAAAGGATTAATGTTGTCTCACCCAAGAACGGGTTCTCCTCTCAACATATTTGTGTTAAACCGTTCAAGCAAATTTCTGGGAGTCAAAAAAGTAACAGTCTCAGTAAAGCATTCCAAAATGTCTTTACAAATCAAAAGTAAAATGGGCCACTAAGGGACAGGTGGGAGGAGTGTCAATAGTTCAAGTTCAACAGTGCCAATCAATTTTTTTAATTTCAATGCTCTGTTCCCTTTTTGTTTCTGCGCTGTTGTGTAACTTTTGCAGAGAACTTTTATGAATGTGACCTTGGAAAAAATGTGTAATGTTGACTCGGATGTCATACCAAGATAAACAATAGATGACTTTGTCATGTAAGCACAGGGTTGGCGATTTTTTTTTGATTTATTTTTTTTTAAATAAAAAAAATGGATTTATTTGATTTAAATCAGATTTTTTTGATTTAAATCAGATTTATTTGATTTTTTTAACTTTCAAAACATTGATATGTCTAAAAATGTGTCTAAATCTCCCAATGCACCCTTACACCCATCACTAACATGACTAAGGAGTTTACAGGTTCCTATAATACCCATCATCCACAAAACTCCATAAATTGATAAATGTTTTTGGAAAAAATGTATGGAATCAGTGATAAAAAAAAATCACATGATTTCATCTACAGGTACTCATGTAGTCTACCACATTGGTTCAATGGTACATTATTACTGAAGACACTTTAAAAATGCATAGTATACAGCTGAGATACATATTCATTGTGTGTGGGTCTGAATGAAAAACGTGATTTACATGTATGGTACATGTATGACATTTGAATTGACATACAACAAAAAGTAAAGTTCTCCATGGGCATGTATATTTCATAACAATGCTTCTAATTTCAAAACCGGTAGCACTGATCCTTGTGTAACTTATAGTGTTTGATTGATGGTCCTTCAAACAAGGTCGAATATAGAAATCAGGCCTTTATAGATCTTTAAAAGATATTATATAAATCTCGATGTCAATTTTTATGGAGAAACGTTAGGAATAAGATGGATCAATACACCTTAAGATGGTTCAGGTAAGCCTACACCAGCACAGTTGATTCACTACATTGCTGTAAACAGATCAAGGAAGATTAGAGCGAGTGTGCTGTCTTTAAAAGTCAAAGTTCGAACAAAACCTTTAAACTCAGATCTTGACTTTAATCAAAACAATGATTTTGCTGAATTATGCAAAACCTACATGTAAGCATGGTAAGTTTAGTCGATGCTGATGAAGTACAGGACTACAGGTACGTACGGGGTGTTTGAATGTGTTAACAACATCTTACTCTTTGTAATTAGTTGGAATTACTTGATTTAAATAATAAAAATGAAACTCAATAAATTTATTTTGTCAAACTGCAGATTTTACAAAAAAGTGATTTAAATCAGTGATTTTTATAAAAAAAAAAGTTTGATTTAAAATCAGTGATTTAAATCAACGTGATTTAAATCAGCCAACCCTGTGTAAACATATTGATTGACGTACCGTACTTGGGCAAACTTTGAGTCATTAATGTGGAAAACTACAAAAACCCTTGAAACGTTAATTGAGAAGCCATTCATACATACATGTACATTTGCCATTTTTTTGCCTTCTAGGGAAACCATCAACTTTGAATTACAGCCTTAAAGGGGCGGATGCAGGAATTTGTACAGGGGAGGTTTTTGATCAACAAAAAAGTCCGAAATGTAGACAGGTTTTTATTCTCTGGACATTTGGCCTCCGTTAAATCAAAAACTGGTGGGGGGGGGGGCTTGTACCATATTTCAGTAGGGGGCGCTGTTCAAATTCAACAATTATTAACACAAGATTAAAGAATGGTGTACAAATACCCCTATCTAAGCTGCCTCTGTCTGTATTTTGAACAGACGGACATTATACCAGTATAATTTTTTGGGGTGTGAAGGGGGGGGGGGATTTCTATGAAAACATTTTTTTTTTGGACGGGGGGGGGGGGCCCTCCCCGGGATCCCCGGGATCCCCTCCCCGGGATCCGTGTGTGAATTAGTGTGCCAGTCATGTAGTTACAGTGGCGGTCCTCTGGGTGTGGGGGGGGGGGGGGCTCTCCCCCGTTCAGCCACTGAATAATGTTATGATACTACTAAAATGGGGCCAAAAATTGTTGTGAAATTGTTTAGGCCGGGAATTCCCACAGACAACCTTACCTGTACATGTAGCAGGGTTCACTCAACCCCCTCCCCCTTTTTATATCAACCCCCTGTTTCCTGAAAGCTAGATCCGCCCCTGAGTTATCAATACTGACACTGAAACAGACTCGCCCCCTTTCCTCATGTATGGAAAGACGGTTCCCTTTGTATTTTTTTTGGGGGGGGGAGGGGGCGTGAAGCAATATGCTCGTTGTCTACATGTACAGTACATGTATTAGAAAATCGTGTTGTCCATTGAAATGTTTCAAAGCTAGTTGATATTGCTAAAATATTCAATTGTTTGATGTAGTGATTGATCGATCGATAAACTAATCAATTCAATGTGGTTTTTGAAAATTAAGTGGTTTTGTTCTATGGATTTGACATTTAATGAAGTCGTTTTGTTCTATGGATTTGCCATTAATAGACAATATAAATCTAGTTTTCCCTGAGCATAAGATACCTTTGACATCAATTGAAAAGCCATCCACGTTTGTCTTATTTTTGGCCTTTAATTCCTCTAATTATATTTCCAACGCGGGAGACCATCGCTTTTTCACAATGAGCATTCAAGTCTCAACGAAGACAAATAAATTGGCAGGCCATCCTTGAAACCCTCCATTATCAGCTTATGAAGTGACATACGTCAGCAGACATTGAGTATAAAAAAAGAGTCAATTTTTTAGCTGCCATGTTACGTAATTCTTGTTTTGCCGTTGCAGATTTCCCACGTGAATCTGTTATACAAGTTAGTGCAATCAACTTTTAATTTTATACAGAACAATAATTAATCCAATTGTACTTTTCAAGTTACAGAATTTTAAACACAACTACCGTTTTAAAAGTATTGTTCACGGATCACAAAAAGGTGTGCGTTCTTTCAGCAAAACGAAAACAAATCACATAGGGATCCGGATATGCATGTGTGTGAATTGTTTTCGTTTTGCTGAAACAACGCACACCTTTTCTGTGATCCGTGGACAGAACTTTAAAATGGTGGTTGTGTTTAAAATTCCGTAACTTGAAAAGTACAAGAGTGATTTGAATTATTCTTGTACTAAAAGAAAGCTTATGAATTGGGCTTAGATTTTGAAAGTGATACATGCAGAACTTCACTTAAACAACAGCCCCGACATTTGGGTTTCGTGGTTTTTGTTTGTTACTCACCCTGTATAATTCCAAGGCGAGAGAGCATAACGTTTTTTTTCAAAATGAGCATTCGAGTTCTTACAAAGAGAAATAAATTGGCATGCCATCCCTGAAACTCTTCATGGAGAGAATGTAGTATCCAGACGCCAATTCAGCGGTTGTGTACAAAGTCTATGGAGAGTCAAAAACATTTTTAAAGTATTACTTAACAAAATTGGACATGTTTCTCAGTCCCAGAATCATATCTTTACAACAGTTTTTGCCATGGCTGACCTTCATTGAGATAATATATGATGAAAAGTGGCGTAAGGATGCAACATTCTTTCCCTCTTCGTTTTTAGCTTGAAATGACACGTAAACAGACATCGCAACTATTGAACTCGTTATGAGCAAACTGACGCGTACATTATATGCAACGGATAATTTTCTTTTGCATTGATTTAAGAACTTACAATGTTAATTTTCATTACTGTCATTGATTTGACTTTTTAACCTTTGTTAGCATTGAATAAGCTGAAAAAAGTGGCGGATTTGATACAATTGTGTGAGTTTTGTTTTTGGTTCTTAAAGTTTTATCCTCCAATCGAATGTCAAAGATCTACTTGGATGTAATTTAAAGCAAATAATGAATGTTTTGCATTCGTGCAATGGTGAGAATATTTTCATTCGTTGAAAGATGGAATGCTCGCCTGGTTGAATGGAACATTCAATCTTTTAACTCATGACAATATTCTCACCATTGCACTCATAAACATTCATTATGTGTATACCAATCGGGGTCAATGATCTTGTGTTTATCCCCTGGGATGTACTTCTGCCATTATAATGAGCTAATGATTATCAAGCAGGTCTCAGTGGAGCTGGGAAAAGCCAATTAGACCCTATTAAATGTATTGATCAGATCATTAGTGGTCCGGTAGTCCAGGCATGGAGCTTTTTGTAGCTCCAGGGTCCTGGCTTTGATAGCTGCTGTTACAGATTTCCCTCGTGAATAAATTTACGGTGTGCAGAGTGTGACATTTTCTCTTTTCCCTGTTGCCTTGTTACTTTGTAAATTACCATTCAAGTATCATAAAATATGAAAGGATTGTTATTTGTTGAGTACAGGTAGTTTGCTATTCATAATCACTCATAGAGGACGACTGCATTAACCCTGTGAGCTGCGAAGGGGCTCACGCGCGAGCCCCTTTTTTTGTTTCTTAACTTTTTTTTTACGAAGCTATCGCCCAATTCCCTTGAAACATGTAATCCTAAGGCCAAAAAAAAGTCTCCGGTTTCTGGTATGGAGCTTGTCCAAAAAGTGGTGCGGCGACGCGGCTTTTTTTTTTTTTACCCGACTTTTTTGCTTCAAATTTGCTTCAAATGTCGGCTGATGACTGCAAATGGTGTCCGACTAAACTTAGTGCAAATATATGGGAGTCCAGAGAGGCCACATAAAGCTTATTCTTGATCATAACCCCATCTAAAAACACGTTGAAATTGCGCAGCAGCAGAATTCCAGTCAAACCATTGAGCTTGGCGGTTTTGAGACATCATCTTTCATTGAAAAAAAAACTTTTTCATTTTGCCGACGCGCATGGCTACGGCGACGCGCGCGCACAACAGAAACCGGAGACTTTTTTTTTGGCCTAAAGTGAACCTTGTGGTTTGAGATGGTATGGTCGCTTTTCTTGTAGGAGTTCACTTGGGGGTCAGCCGCCCCTGGGAAAGTTGGGCCTCCAGCCAGGAGTGCATCAGAATTTCAAACTCGTAGATGTCAGATGTAACAGGGACAGGAAAAAGCGGACCTCAGATTTATAGAATGATGTTTATTGGGAGGGCAGACTGAAGTAGGGGGAGGCCTCATGTGACGCTGCATGGGGGCGCTCCCTTTCTTTTTCGTTTTTAATATGGAAACGAATCCAAGTGAAAAGCTACCACAGATCTGGATCGATTCGAAAACAGAGCCTGGATCTGCAAGTGCAAGTGCACATTGTGTCCATGCATGCCTCGTAGATTCCGCTTCACTACATCGTCACTCTAATAGCAAAATCAGTCCCAACAACCTCTAACTTTCTTGATGACTATTCCAACGCCAGACAAACTGCAAAAAGAAAACGGGGAAAATTTTGATTCATTTATAAAAAACTGAAATTAAAAATCTTTTGGTAGACAGTTGGAGGACGTTTGCACCGATTTTAACTTCTGAAATTTTCTTCAAGATCCAGAGTTACTAAGTTCTGAATGCCAAATATTTTTTATTAAAGACAAAATTCAAAAACTAAAATTTCAAACCTAATTTAGGCCTACTTTATTCTGTTGTGACCTGATCGTTATTTATAAGCTAATATTTGCAGTTACTGCCATGTCCGTACTTGGGAGTAGGGTGTTTGGGCGGGGGTCGAAGGGTTTTGGAAAACCCTATGTGCGAGTAAATATATAAAATAAGGTCCTCATTTCTTTTCTTGAGGCGGACGTATTTTTTCTTGGCCTAATAACGTACAACAGTAATCATACCAGCTTGTATTATGAATAGCGCCACTTGATAAAAGATGTTATCAGCCTCCCCGTCCTCCCCCTAACCCCCCCCCCCCCCACCCCACCCCCTTTGAATTATTTTGCAACGTCCAGTGTGGTTTCAGGATTTTGCAATTTGTAAGACTCATCCAGGCGCGTATCCAGGGAGAAGGCCGCGAGGGCACGTGCCCCCCCCCCCCGGTAAATTTTGTCCAAAAAAAATACTACAAGTACATGTATATAATTATGCATGTATATGGCGCCAATAGTCATCGGGCCTTTCGGCGCCGTGATTGCAATTTCCACATGGTACGACAAATTTTGAAGGTGGATTCGTCATTTTTTCTGTAAAAAGAAATAATTATTGTAGATGATGACGTTGAAAAATAGACATCGAGAATTGCTGCCTATCCCGGCGTCTACGTTGAAAGTTTCCTCGCAGGCTTGCACTTTGTCTTGAGAAAGCAACACACCGCTTTCCGTTTTGCCAGAGCATGTCTGGAGCGCTAAAACTTGCCTTGTGGCAATAATTCCTGATTATTTTTTTCC